TTTATCAAAAACTATTTGAATTGATTGAATTGGTTAATTTATTATAAATTGATCAAATTGATTAAATTAACTAAATTGATTATTTTGAATAAATTATATAGAATAACAGATAAACTGGAAGTCTGTTTATATAAAATTGGATTTGGGTTATTTATTATACTAAAAAGGTAACTCTACAATTCGAAAATAACGAATCTGAAGTAATTCATTAATATATATATAAAAAGGATTTTACAAAAGTAAATCGAATTTATATTACTATATTTCTTAGTAAATTAGATTTCATTTAATATAAATAGAAAGAATAGAATTCAGATAAAAGAATATTCTTATATTGTGATATGATATTAGATTATAGGGTTATTGAATTCTATTAGAGATATAGATATTATAAGTAATACTAAAGTATTAGTATTATTATAGAAATTAATAAGATTTTTATAAATATATATATATATAGAGTTTATATAATTTAGATAGTAGATTCCTATTATAGGAGGAATATTGGAAATTATATATATAGTATATATGTGATATATGTATACTACTATAAAACTCCTTTTTTGGATTTCTTGGATATATAGACCATACATATATATTCAATATATCACTCTCTATACATAACTTACTGTCTATTTCTGACAATTTTATTAATAATCCACTCATTTTCTATAGTATAGAACTTCCAATTCTTATATATATGAAACTTAATAGAAAACTATTATTATTGAATACTTTTACCCTTATATATAATAAGAAATAATAATACTTTTCTTATAGCAAAAATATACTCAATAAAAGAAATCCAACTTTTTATACCAAATTACTTCTTTTAAATAAAGTATTTTTTAGTATTTCCAAATATTATATTATTCAAGCCCTAGCCTTTTATAATACCAGCTTTATTTATATTTTATTTGTTTTTTTGGCTTAATATAAATAATAGCTAGTAAATTCAACTTTTTAAAGAATTTACTAATAATTTTGATAATAGCACCTGAAATATATTAATTATCGATTCTGATTTATTTTTTGATTCGAATTTCAGAATTTTTAAGCAAAAAGTTATATATCCATTGTTTTTTAAGTATAAACTTATTCCTTTTTATTTTGAAAAGAGTTTTGCTAATTTTTTGTATCTATTGATATATAGAACTAATACTCAAAGCCTTTTAAACTAATATTTATTTAACTAATATTTTCTCTTATATCAGAACTATCTTTTGTAGATTTTGAGCACCTTTTTGATAGAAAAAATAATTTTTTATATAATATTAAAAAATAATACAAAATATCCCATAATTCAAATTAGCTTTTCTAATAATTATATCTCCTACTATAACATTGAATATTATAACAATATTATTTTTGATATAACCACTACCCATAATATAATTAATAACATATCAAATTTTTGAATCAATTGATTTAATGATTATTGAATTATTAAAGATTAAAGAAAAATGATTAATTAGAATAATAAGATTTATGAAGTAGCCGAAAAGAGGGGTGGCCGAAAAGTAGGGTACTGAACTTATTCACTAGGATATTGGATTTGAATCTTCAATACCTATACATATGCCTGCTCTGCAAGCCTTAGTCTATTCTAATTCGTATCACACCCCCACTTATTCACTCATCTACCTCTTTTAACCCTACCACTTTGATGATTCACATCCCTCTCCCACATCTTCTCATCTCCCTTCCGCCCTCCACTTCCTGAATGTGGATAGTACCGTTATTCACACCCTTTCGCGTATATATAAGTCCACTTCCACGATTACAATTCCATATCAGAGAAAATCAAATTTACAACAGTCGATCTATGGGAAACCACGATGGTATGAGGTAGGCAGGCCAAATAATCAAGCAGTGTCTTTCGAGATACTAACATTATATCCGTGGGTTGACGAGACGGATAAAGTTCAGAAACCGATATAATTGATTAGTATTTAGTTAATTTAATCGTCGCGTTTGTAGTGAAGAGTGACAATAAGAATTGGTAGTGACAGTGACCTGAGTTCTTAAATTTGCTTTCGCAGAGCACAATATATCAAAGGAGGGTTCTTCGATAGTAAAATATCAGTACATGAAGTACAATGATATCCTCATACACTCACTATTCTGATAAAAATCCAGTTCCTCATCAACACTCTATACTCGAATCGTCACTACCACATCTCTACGTCTATAGTAGAAGAAAACGAACCAAATGAAATAACTGAGTACACTCTTGATATCCTGTACAATCTTGAACTTTGTGCGCCCGCCGGTCATAACGATCAAATTCAAACACAAATAGAGATAAGATTTATATACATCCTTACATTTCTTTCTCACAGCTTTATGATCTTCAATTCAATTAATTTCAACCCCCTCTATATGCACAATCTCACGTTCATTGTTCCGATACCGGGTATATCGTCCATTCTCCTCGCTTAATTCACTCCCCTCATCCACTCCTCGTTAAGGCTCACCAATATTAAATCTTAAGCGATATAAGCAACCCACTGAACCCTACATAAATTCCCTCTAGCCCCTGAGTATTCAAATCATAAACAATAATATCAACAAGATTCCCGCATAAGGAGTCACTCCTCGAACGACAGAAGTATGAAGGTAAACGAAAAGCGTTTTCTAAAGCTAACGATGTCCGATCGTCAAGTTCTGGAGATAGACTGCTAGCAGATATAGCAAGAAAATAATGGCAACGACCATAAAATGAACAATTATTGTCATCGTCAACCCATCTTCATCAGAAATTCCTAGCGCTGATACCAATACCTTCTTGCCATGATATCTTAACCCTTCATCTCCCCACACAATTCATAGCCTAATTTAGATCAAAACACTCTTTCCTACACTCTCAAAATTTTCACGAGCACTCAAGCGATTTTCTTAGGAAAGTTATTCCTCTCGCTTCAAATCTTTCTTGGAAAAAAGAGGAAGACAAAGCAATGCATGGGCTTTTACAACCCCGCTACTCTAGAAATATTTCATGGGAGGAAGATTCATGATTTCGTAGCAAAAGATAGGGTCGTAAAGATTCACCATTCTATTGTCTAAAACCATCCACATACCCTCTCAATCTTCGATATCCACCTCCTTAACTTTTCCTTTACCTTCCAGTGTTGTTAACCCTTGTGAATTCCATCTCCTTCCTCACCATTCCATCTCCTCCCTTGCTATATATATCTCTCCCTCTTCCACCCATCACTTTTCCAACTCACTCCTGTGAACACAGAGATGAGTGATTTAAGACTACTCTCTGCCCTCCGCTTCATTGATTCACAAATCCACAAGCTGATAAGTACAAATCCATGCATCACATCATCACATCATCAACTTTCCTACACTCGCATGATTATGCATTACCAGAAGTGCAAGAAACGACAACAAAGAAACCTCCGACGATAACCCAAATCTCATGTTAAAAAACTCACATTATAGCAATAGAGAACACTTATCATCAATTCTCCACCCCAAAATCTCCACCCCCTCAAAAATGATCGTAACCTATCCCTCCCTCAATAGATAATCTTCCCCCCTTGCACCCAGGAAAACACCCTCATATCATTTCTCCGCACCAGTGCCCCAATGTAGACATTCTCAGTCAGTGTCTGAGTTCTAACCAACCAGGAAATATTCCCAAGAGATCTGGAAGTTTATATACACCCTCCCCCATTCCCCCCATCCTGCTCAGCTTTCCACCAAGCCTCCGAACTTGGAGAATGATTACTCGTTCATCATTTACTCCCTTTCCCTCTATCCACTCCCTCCAGTAAGAAAAATTGAAACCGATCAGCCATAAAAGAATTCCGTCCCCAATCACTTTCTTCATTCCAAGTTCCGTGTAAGTTGTATCTCGATATACTGAAATTCAATTCTTGTTTTATTCTTTATGAAACTTGGGGTTAAAATCTACAAACCTTAAAATTGCAATCTGATTAATTCAATTACCTTCTTTCCAATTTACCCGAAACACTTTCTTAAGTCTCTGATTCACCGTCGCACCTATTCTCTCTCTATTCCCTCCTCCACTCTCTCCTCCTTCCTCTTTTCCCCCTCTTTACCCTTCCCTCTCCAAATTTTCCCTCACATATCCTCCTCTCCCCCTCTCTCTCCCACCTTATAACACTCTCACCTTATAACACTCTCACCTCTCCCCAATCTCCAGACAAACAATCCAGCAGTGACTCCAACCAATTTAGAGTCAATTCCACCTCCCAGTGCTCTCATTCATATTCCCCTTCTAATCGCTATCCATAAATACCTAAAATTCCATTATGATTTCCATTTCCGTTTCTAGCCATCTGATCTGTCTACCCATCCAATCTACCTACCCATCCACCTACAATATCTCAATATCATCTAATATCTACCATCCCATCCTCCTTCATCATCATCATTTCTTTCCACAGCACAGGAATAGAAAACTCAATCACGATATCAGATGAAATACATAACCATTCAACACCCAAACACTCAAGTACACAAACACCACGAAAGTAATCACAACATAATTCCAACCCCCAAACCTGACATCTCTACATCATCATCACACACCTTTACATCTCTATCTCCATATAAACACGAGGCATTCAAATTCATCTCCATCTCCATCTTCACCTCCACACTCAAGGTTCGTTGTTTTCGACATTGAGATTGAATACGATTGAATGAATAGCCACATAGTCGCTATCTAGCGATATATCTATGCAAATGTGAAAGTGTGACGATAGAATTCTTGACATATATAGCGAAGACCGAAATGTAGCCAGCGAATGTGTTACTTCCTTTCCTTTTCAGTTTGAGGTGTGTGTGCTTGACACAGGGTTTGAGGATCCACGCATATACATACGTGTGAGCAGATAGCAAGAGCACTAGCACTAATGCTGCCTTTGGCGAATGACCTCCGCCTAGCCATCATATCATTATCATTATCATTATCGTGATCCCTATCCTCATGCCACTCTATCCTCATCGACAAAACTCTCCACTCAACTCCTCACCCCCAAAACACACAACCTCCCCCCAACTCCTCCTCCCCCTTCATTACCATCACCACCATCTCCCTCCCACCCAAAACACAAACTAACCCTCATCCCCACCATCCTACACTCCAACATCTTCACCTCTTCAATCCCCATCTCGCACAACTCCTCTGTTCCTCTCCCCAATAACTCCTTCCACGCCTTCTCGCTCCAGACTAATTTCCCTCCATGTATCATTCCCGTTTCATCGATTAATGTCGTAATAATTTTCGGATTCACGAGGAGTTGTAGAGGCTTCGAGCAGTGCGGGCATCCGAGACTGGGGGTGGAAGAGTAGAGCTGTATACCGCAGCTGTGTGTGATGGATGGTGATTAGTGAGAATCTCTATCCAAGCCCTGAGGACATGTGAAGACGAAAGCAGAAAAGAAAGAAAATGAAACGAACCATTCCCCACAAAACAACATATTTCTCCTCCACATCTTCACCAAGCTCAATTCCACAAACACAACACTAATCCACCCTGTAAACACCTCTCCCTCACCTCCTCTAACCCACTCTTCTACATCCCTCAACCCAAATAATGCCGTCCTAGGACCATAAATCGCTTCCTCGATATCTTCCTCTCCCCAAACCTCACTTGGAAACTCTACTCCTATACTCTCTTTCCTCAACAATCCATCTGCCCACTTTCTCAACCAATTCGCATCTGCAAATTCCGGTTCCACATCTACCATTGTGTTTCTTCCCCAAGCTATTGTTCCTTTACCTCCATAATCAAGCTTATGCAATGGATTTGAAACTAGCAGGGTCTTTTTTCCTGGTATCCATTCCTTCACACTCTCGATCAAATCCGACCAACATTTCATTTTCGTTTCGCCGGTATGATCAAAGAGAACCACTTCGATAAGATCTGACTCTCCTCCATCTTTCTTGACAATCTTCTTCTTGGCACCGATACTCTTTACACAAACGAGTAATTTCACATCTAGAACTCCATCATACCCTCCATTTAGATAAGCTTCCAATGTCATGAGCCCAGGCAATGGTTCGCCCTTGACGTAACCAAGAGGAATACGACAGACATCTGCAGCACCGGAATGAGTATGAATCATCAAGTGATCACTCGTATTGCGGCCAGGAAATAAGTTTGCGCAAACGAGAATACCAGCTGTGGATGCACCGTCGGCTTTCGAAGTATCGGATATGAAGGCCGTCCAGATTGAGAGAAGTTGACCCAATTTGAGGGGGTAAGATTGGTTTGCGAAGTATAGTTTGATCTGTATTGGGGGTTAAGTGTCAGTTGGAAGCAATCTCTTTGACAATCTGTGGTTGAAACAATATGCATTGCAGTGGCCCTTGGGTTGAGTGGCAGGCAAGACATGAAAAGCAAATTAAAAGCTACTCACCGAAACAACACCACCCTCTCCCCTAACACCAACATAATGCCATCCCCGAGCTCTTGGCTGTTTGGCACTTTTCCCAATGATTGTCGCGAAACTGACCACTCTACCTATGAAGGTAACTGCTTTTGGTCCTAGAAATTCATGTTAGCAAATCCTTTACAGAGATGTACTCACTAGTTTCCATAAGTTCCCTCTCCGCTCGTCATTGGATGCTGCACAGTACTTTGACACTCTATATGCAAGAAAAACAACATTCTATAAATCTCTCAAACGGAAAAATCCCCAATATATGATCCGTGTACCGAAAGTTCCCAAGAACACAGGAGAACATCCAATAAGTACATACCAGGAATCAACTCTCCCACCGTCATACTCTCATACTCTCTACTCGGATTCCACTTTTGAGCCAAAGGATCCATCGCCTCGTGTAATTCTTCTTCCTGTTATCGCACCAAGCATGTCAGTCATCAAATTCTCATCAAGAATATTTCTCCATATCCTCCCTCCCACTTCCGCCTTCTTCATCTTCTCTCGAACTTCCATCCTCATCATCCTCTCCAGTTGCAAACTCCAAGTGCAACCCAACTGCACAAACCTCGAGAAATCGTATAGAATGCAACCCCCCAAAATTGAGAAGACAAATTTTGCAAATGCGAAAGGGACTTTCACATTGGCACAAACAGCACCAAAAACAACCAAAGCACTCAAGTTCTTGTATGAACTCACCGTAAAGCCATCACCCAATTCATCTTTCTCATCTGTCCCATCCCTCTCCACCCCATAATTCTCTCCACCACCATCCCTAGCAAATCCATCACCCGTTTCATTCTCCTCCCCTCCCCTCTGCTCTCTCACCACATGCAAAGCAGACATTCCTTCATCCCCCTTAACCTCTTTCCGAAAGAAACTCTGAATCGAAGGATATTGCGACGGCATCTCGCCCCAACGAGATCGCACAAAATCTGATCCTGAAAAGATGACTGACGAAGAATGTGTTAAGAAGAAAATAATTAATCCTCCAACTCTAGAGAGGAAGAGGTTCCAGAAGCATGCCTCCCCTACAAAACTAACAATTAGAAGATAATCAAAAGAGAGAGATGTGATAAACTCGGAGTACACAAAGAATAAAAGAGAAGATCCAAAAAATTGAACTCCCCCCACCGCGACAAAGTCACAGAGGATCCGATCCCGAGAAAATAACAAACAAACAAATACACATACATATAGAGCAGGAAATATATAAATTTCAAATTTCAAATCGTAATGAAGAAGAAAAAGAGAATCTAGAATTAGATAGTCTATAGAAGGATGGAATCGGTATAAAAAAACAATTAGAAGAATATCGAGAAAAATCGAATGTGAAGAAAAAGGACATTCAACTTCCCAGAACCCTTCCCTCCCTCCCTCTCGATCTAAATCGAAATCGAAATCGAAATCTAAATTCATATCTAAAAACTTCGATCAAACCCTTCCCTCTACACCAAAGAATCCCCCCAAAAATGAAGAATTCCTCTCCTCTCCTCTCCTCTCTTCTCTCTCCTCTCCTACCTAGATACTACCTACAGGCTACACTCAAGAATCAAGACCCCTCCACATACCTCCCCCCCGCCCCTCTCTCTACAAACACAAACACAATCATAAACATAATCAAGAGCTAGCTGTATCTCAATATCGATATCATCTCCAAACTCCCATCTCCAACCTCCCATCTCCAAACTCCCATCTCCAACCTCCCATCTCCAACCTCCACAAACAATCAATTCCAAAAACCAACACTATTGATTCCAAACCAAAAGACCAAAGTATGCATTATACATTACACATGATGCATTACGCAAGCATACTACAAACCATCCAAAATCCAAAATCCAAAATCCAGCCAACTTTCTCTCTTCCCCCTCTTCCCCCTCTCTCAGATTCCCACTTCCCCCTTCCCCCAACAAAACAAACCAACAATCAAATCAAAATCAAATCAAAATCAAATCAAAATCAAATCAAATCAGAAGAAGAAGAAAAAAACATCCCTATAAAAGATCCAGATCTCAACTCTCAAGAAAAGTGTCCTCTCGATGAAATCATTAGCAACGCCAGACTCCAATTTCATCACCATCTCAAAATTCCAGAAGGAAGATTTCAAATCATCCGCTCGACCGTTTCGATACACCTCAGCACCCTCGAGACAGACACCTTCCGTCCCCTTGTACACTAATGGGAATCTGCTTGGATCACAATTTGATCGGGGGAGATTGATCAGTGCAAAATCAATCAGATGCAGTAAATGTTCCTTTCAAAGACAAATGAGATGATGATTCGGAGATTTCGGAAAATTTCATGGTCAAAGGTGAAGAAGATATTCATTGGGAGGTGAAACAAGTGTTCAGGCAATTCGCGCTAATCACCGTTTTCCTCACTCCTTCCCCAACTAATAACTTCCCGGCACGAACACCAAAAATGTATCAGTTGGGATCACTAGAAAACATCGGAGAATTTTACAATCAAGAAAAAGAGGCAAGGTTTGAAGGTTTAAATGTACTTCAATTTTCGATAAAACTATTCTAGGTAATGAATGAATGCATGGTACTTAGGTATCACCATGAGGTAAACAAGAATAGTAAGCAACTCAAGAATCCATCAAATCCCACCACCATGAAATGCGAACAATCCACAACTTCCAACCAGAGACACAACCTAATAAAGCTTGTGTTCCAAAGTCATATCATTCTCTGGTTCAAGACCAACACAAGCACGGAAAATGTTAATCAAAGCACCACGTTGCTTGGCAAGTGCATTAACAACTGGAGCTCCAGGCGGAGTCAAGGGTGCCTTGAGCATATAGCTGAGAATGCTAAGAACACTGTGGAAGTTCTTGTAGTCCTTGGTAGTAGCACCATCAGTAGAATGAGCCTTCCATTGAATACGAGTCATCATCTCTGCAAGGACAACAAGATCAATGATCAATGGTGAAGCAAGAAGAGAATCCTCGCAAACGTTGAAGAGACTATTTGTGATTAGCCAAGTGTAGAGAATGAGCATTGATTGAACAATATAACTTACGAAATGGTTTGATGACCTCCCATGAAAATCTCAGCATAGTACTCATCAAGAGCACGCTTGTTATCACCAACAGCTGGCATGTACTTGATGACAACACAATGATCAGGATGTTCACCTTCCTTGTAGAGAACATTGTTGGCAGCCACCATATCATCGACAACATTGGATTTCGAAATCTCCTTGGAACGGAATTGCTTTTGAGAGCTGAGATTCTTTCCATCATTGTTACCAAGATGATTGTAACTGGAGATAGCAGTGAGCTTGATACCAGCACTGATCAAGAAGTCGACAAGAGCAGACTTCATCTTGGTTTGACCAGATTTGAAGTCATCACCACCAATGAAGGAGTTATGCTTCTCTGCAAGCTCAATGCAGCCAGGAACAAATGTATTTTGTGGAGAGCCGTTGATGAAAGGTGCGTTTTCGAGAATGCAAGCAACAGCGAAGATAGTGGAAGGAGCAACTTCTTCGTGTCCGTTCTCGATAGCTTTCAAGAGATTATCGGCCGTGTCGTTAACACCATCAATGAGCTCAGCAAAACGTTCAGTGTTGGCAGTCCAGAGAACAATGACCTTATCGAGTTCGTTCTTGGCCTTGAAGTCACTGTGAAAAGAACGTTAGGAGATGATAATGAAATGAAGGATAAAACATAGCGAATGCTTACCGGATATCCTGACGAATCTTTTCAACATGCTCATTGCAAGCCTTGCTACCTGGGACAAGGTTGTCGGCACGATCTTCTTGATTGGCAGCAATGAAATCTGGGTAGTAAAGACCAGGAAGTGGAACCAAGTCAGTCATTTCCTTCTTGATTTGTTGCTTCAAGGTAGGTTCAAGGACACCAGCACGATCCATGGCATCAGACAAGTTGAAGCCGCTGATATCCCAACCACCAATGACCAAATCGTTGGGGTGAACCATTGGCAAAGCTTTGTGGAAAGGAATGTTGACATCACCACCAGTCTTTGCGTTAGTACCAAGTTTCATGGTTGAACCCATGACAACGGAGCCATAGTAGTTGTGCTCACGGGTACCCTCACGAGTTGCCCATGAAAGACCACGACGATTAGCAATGATACCGGCAGTGACAGTTGTACCATTGTTTCCGCCCCAACCGACAAGCATCATACCTGTCTTGGGATTTTACGTTCAACCTTGAAGTCATAGACAGTTTCTTTGGGAGTAGCAACAAAGTTACCACTGGCAGACTGAGTGACAGCTGTAGTACGATAGTTGTACTTTGAGCGGATCTCGTCATCAGTGTAGATAACGTTTGGAGAGCTGACGGTGAATAAGTCTTGGTTAGAGGATTGGGAGGGTGCACCATCCATAGTGCTGGTGTTGCTGGAGCCGTTTGCGTGGGGAGCCATCTTGATTGATTTGAAAACTCGAAAAGTTCTTGAAAGTGCTTGACAGTTCTTGATTTAACGTAAAGATGTTTGAGAGTATCTTAGAATTGATGTAGATGTGTAGGTAAAGCAAGAATTGCAATTGTATGAATATTTTCGAGTTTTGATGGGTACAGATGTATAGACAAAAAGTGATGCAAATGTTGTGTATTGGAGAAGAAGAGTTCTGTTGATTGCAAGACTATTTATCTAACAAACGGCGAGTCCGATGCTCCTGCTGGAGAAGAGCAACGGGCACCAGCAAAAGGATGGTGCGATCTGTGAACGACTTGTTAGTATGCCATATTGTAAAGAGGTTCCTCCCTCGATGGGAGGTTGTGAGAGGTTGAGATGCATATTGGGAAGGAAGCATGAAATGAATGACGAGGAGATCGTAAGATAAGATGATTGAAGACCACAACGTAAACAATGAAACTTATGGAAGGCAGCAACCGCAAAATCAATACAACATGAATGCATAGGATGTTCCTCCCTTCATGATCCAAGCAAATGTGAAGTCATTGACAAGAGAAGGTAAGATACACCCGCGATCGCATGTAAACACATTGCCAACCATGGAAGGTAGCACGCGGCAGATATTGACAACCAAATAAGCTCCAATCCATCAAGTGCAACTGAGAGGATAGATGCACAGGAAGATCCTTCTTCCTCCCTCACCCACCCTTCATCCGCGGTAGAAAGGGCTCATCCCTCTCAAACCATTATCAAAATGAAATTCAATACGTACGAGTTAAGAAGATTAGAAAACGTCTTGACGACGGGGTGATCACACTCGTAAGTGCGATCTGTTTAGTTGACTGGAGTTGAGTGTTGGAAGGGTTGTGCTTTGGCAGTTGATCTTAATCGGCGGTCGAGTCTGATTTGAAGTATATGGTTATTGAACGGAAGACTGAAATGCGTGGGGAGTCTCATCATTTTAAATTCGTCGTGGTAACATCCGTTGTCCGAATTCCGTATCTCCCCCCACTATAATCTAAGGTACCGTCTGAAAATAGTGGGCTAGCTTTGCTGGCTAGAATATGCGTCGTTGATTGGATGAGATAGTGTGGATGTGCCCAGTAGCATGTGTATCGATAACGATCAACAAAAGAAAATATCAATTTCTCCATGATTTGGCTGTGATGTCTTGCGGAGAGTCTGGAGTACCTAGGTAGTTGTGGAGAAAGAGGCAGGATGTTGTTGAATTTTATGTATCGTACTGAGTATGGCATGGAATCGTGAAGAGAAGTGCACAGTTAGTCATGATCACAACAGGAGAGACGGCATGCTTCACAAGCTTACTTGGACAAGAGAGTATCTCCAAGACCGCGAGGTGGCTATCAACTTGGCTTGCGAATTCGCCTGTAGGATATATTGTTCTTCCATATGACACCATTCAATCCCCACCACCCATGATATTTATCCTATTCGTCAACTTTGAATATTTACTTCGTAGATATCTCTATCCGTACGTGATGGTTCCTCACTCTTCTCATCTCATTGATTCGATATCTTACCATTACAGTATCCGATCAGTCAATATCAAAGATGCGATCACGGAATAATACTCCCTCGGTCCCTTCCTTCCCTTCCCTTCCTAACATTTAGTTCCCAAAGACTACGGAATCTCGCATCGCGGTTGCGCCCGTTAGTACAGAATTCACGTATATAATCAGTAGAATAGCACTATTGAAATGAAGCAAAGTAGCGGTCAGAATGCTCCATGCAGATATATTTCCATCAATGGCATTTCAACAGTTTTCATTACTCATTGCGTGGAGGCAATCACAACACGTGTTTTTTGGAATTGTCGACAAGGAAAGGGGGTGTGATGAGATGCACAAGCGGCATTGTGAGAACATTTGGTTGGCCTTGTGTGTCTAAGAGCCTGAATTTGAGTATCCAATGTGGAAATTGATCTTGGTGTTCGAGATAAGGGAGTGAGCATTCATTCATTTACAACTGTTGTGTCTTCCAACCAATGTGTTGTATGTTTCAGGAAGTTCGGAGAGAGACTGTTGGACACTGTACCGACATTCACGGCGTGGAAACCAATATTTGTCGGTAGGTAGGTAAAAGATATGGGTGGAAGAGTATATGGGAAATCTTGCTCTACACGGTGAATTCTTGTGTTGACTAATTGAACAAGAGGGAAAGAAGGAAGGACCCTGATCAACCGAAATTTCAACTCACGAAGAGACCAAGTCCAGATACATCTAGGTCGAAAATGATCCCGTTGTAATCTCCTTCCATACTACACACGATACACATGCTTGCGATACTACCTCTTGACGGGCAGAGACGCAAAGAGGCCCGTCCTATGATTCCTATCATCAACAAGCTGAATTGAAGAGAAAAGACAGCACGATAAAACTTCATCCCCCCCATCTTTGCGGGCAAAAGACCAAAAATTCCTGTTGAAAATTTTCCTAAATGGAAGGGGATCAACTTCATATAAATTGAGTAGCGCTATTTCAGGAAGTGTAAGGTGGAGATCAGGGGCTAGTAAGCCGCCGACAGATTAACGGCAAGAATCAGTGACGAACTGTAAAGAGTGGCCGTTGTTTGACTGAGAATATCGAAGCTATCGAAAGGGAAAAAATTCTAAATGTCTGTGTTGGATTCATTACCAATTTCTGAAGAAGCGGCCAGAATTGTTACGGGTCGAATCTTTAATTTCCTTGCAGTGCATTTTCTCTCGATAACACATAACAGCAATGCACCGCATGAGTAGTACAAAGAAAAACGATCCCCATACAACTACAATCACATCTCGATTACCTCGTCGAGCATCTCTATTTATACTACCTCTACCCGTCAATACGACATTCAACTCTGTACTCTACACATTACAGATCACACCTATCTCTAACGACACCCTATCACACCGTCAGGGTCTGGCGGTCCAATCTTAGGTTCACGGCGGCAAGGGTTCAAAGTGGTCAAGTTTGATAATCGATCTTCTCCATTGGGAAATTTATGGAGCGTTCAATTCGGATGATTTGATTTATTAGATACTTTGATACTCCTTCATCACTAGGTACTAGATACTGGATATTAGATAATGGGTATTGGATATTGGATATTGGATATTGGATATTAGATACTAGATACTGGATACTAGATATTAGATACTAGATACTGGTTACTAGATACTGGATATTAGATACTGGATATTAGATATCAAATACTAGATATCGAATATTAAATATTAGATACTAAACATTAGATATTAGATATTAAATACTAGATACTATAACTTATACTAGATATTAGACATTAAATACTAGATATTAGATACTAGATACTAGATACTATATCCCAGGTAAGCCATCTCTTCCCACCATCGAAAGCGTTAGTGTGTCGCGGACAAAGTACCAGAGATTTCCCAGAAAATCAATTGGGCATAGAAAGTCGAATGGAAGGAATAGAATGTTTTGGATATATACTAACATTCAATGTCTTGACATCATTATGGATTCGCATTAAAAGCGCGCGACATCTGAAACCACGTTTGCTTAATTTTGGTTCTTCAATTGCGTACCTACGTAGGTTTCTATCATGCACGCAGGCATGGAGTCAAACAAAAGGAAGAAGAAGAAAAAAAGGTAAAATGTGCAACGGGAAATCGCACGATAAACTTCGGACTGGAAGAAGGCCATCAATTTGTTTCGTCTCAACGGTGATGGTGTGGATCCTTTGGGTTACTCTCAGATAAAGGTTTTCCCTCGTTGTCTAGGATCTTTGCGTGTACCTGACATATCGCGTCGTCCGATGAACCTTGATTTGCATCCCTGGATTGGATGGACTGGACGGACGGAATAGATTGCACTAGGACCTTTCCACGGCCCCTGATATTTAGAGGGACGGTGATAAGGCCCAATGAGGGTTGAAGTGCCAAAAGTGGTTCTGGATATTGCGATGAGTGAGATGAACGAGATGAATGTATCGAGTGGAGGCGGTGGAGCATGTACGGACGGGCCAAATTGGGAGAGAGATGAAGCTTCGTGAATCTGGGATGGAGAAATGGTGGAAAGGTAAATGTTAGAGTTAAATGATTGAGAGAGGGGCATGGGATGATGTTGTGTGTTGGATAGTCGGAGGTGGTCGGGAATGATGTTGTGTGTTGGATAGTCGGAGGTGGTCTGGAATGATGTTGTATGTCGTATATTTGGTGGTGGTGAGATGTGATGTGATATGAGGATGTCTTCTTGGAGTGTCTGATTGTCCATTATCTAGTCGTAGGTAGGCATTCACGAAGGGTCTCTTTGAAGTTGGAGCTCATGCAATACATACACTGGTCGAGACTCGAGAGATCTCAGATAGATATCAGATACAATCTCATCTTGCACCACTCAACCATCCATCCATCCCATCGCACAGTACACATACCTCGACCAACACATACCGGCACTACGCCGTTCATCTACGACCATAACCACACGTAGCTTTGACCTCTCGAGTCATTTCCTTCCATGGCATCTTCCATTGCTGCCAATCCTTCCATATACTCATCCTGATCCTACGTGCCGATGTAAATCTCTTCTCCTCCACATCCAATCATCCATCAATTCATTACTCGAGACATCTACTCACAATAAGCATTCAATTCATGATCCAACAAACCTTACCAATGAAACCAAACATCTCATCGATATCATCAAATAACTCTTCTCACACCATCATTCCATCACCATTCCATCCATCGATTGGGCAAGAATTAAATCAAATAATATTTATCCGCAACAATAGATAATTAAACATGAACCAATCATGGCCCGAGAAGGTTTATGCTCTGGGACTTGTATGTTACAATAACCTCCATCTTGAAGCCAGCACGGTTCACCATCGAGGACTTGTCATCGTGTTTCTGGTACCTGAATCCATTTTCATCCCGTTTGGATTCTGGATGTGACTTGGAGCAGGGGGGAGGGGAGGGAGGACGGAAAGATGTGCGAAGTGTGAAAGCTTGCGCAGGTCCATGATATGATAGTCCATCGTCCATCCATGAGAGAGATACCTGCTTACTACCTAGGTACGCAAGAAGATCTTCTCTCTTCTTCTCTTCTCCACACTGCACTATACTAGGGCGTGGGAGTTTCATCCAACTATCAAACATTCGTTCATCCGGATCTTTTCCACGTTGTGTTTTTTTTGTTTTTATCTTCACTACCTACCTATACACACATACACACACATACACACACTCACAGTCAGTCCTTACAGCAATCCTCGAGTGGCAAGCATCACATTCATTCATGTTCATCAATCTTTACATCGTGTCGTTCATGCCCATCCAATCTTTCAAGTAGGAATTCTATCAATACATACTTACATTCCAATATACCATATCTTCGTCTTCGTTCTTCAATCGCATTGACACTTTACGAAATTCATTCTTCAATATCTCTGACAAGAATTGCCTTTCTAATCAAGACTCTTTACATTACTGCGATCAGATCCAATTGAGCTGGAAGATCATTTCTAGAGGATTTAATATAATATATTGGGATCAGACACGAAACAATTGAATATTCATACCATCGCCATTCTCCATAAACTTCCTTCCTTCACTTCAGAAATCACCAGGTCTTTAGTCCTCTCTCTCTCTCTCTATCTATACCGAGCTTTTTACCGCCTCCACTTAATTGATCGACGAAGGAATAAGAGACCAACATAAAATCACACAACCGCTGCATGATCAATATTTAAGAATCAATCGAGGGAATTGAGAGGTTGGCATAATCAAGAAATTATCTTGCTCGCCATGGCAGACTTTATGAGATCGTCGAGTTTTCTACCAACGATAAAATGTTCGAGTTGCGCGAGGGATATTCAAATTGCAATGATGGGGGAGCATATTTGCTCAGGCCCTCCTTCTGCTGGAGAACGTAAGTTCTGAGATTTGTGTATAAATGGGGTATCAAGACTAATGATTCATGTAGCGACACCACCACTTGATTTAAATAATACTTTCGACAGGATGCCATATAATCAGCAATCATATTCCAATGGATCGAATCTTTTGAAACCAGGAAGGACAATGCCTCCGAGGGTTGATACATCTGCTGCGAGTATGTTGAAGAAGAGCTATTGAACCATTGGAATTTATACTAATTAAAACATCAATAGATCGTCCATTCTTCCAACAAGATCAATTGACACCAGCGAGTAGCGCATCTCCCTCTCGAAGTGCTTCACCATTAACTCCACACGATCGCCTTCGATTACCATTCGGAAAATCTTCGCGCGCTAACGATTCTTCACCTGTACAAAGACCTATTTCCCCAGCTCTATTATCATCGAATCTTGACTCTGCTTTCCCCCGTTTTCCTACACCAAAAGTAACGGGATCACCTAGACTTAAGAGTGCATATGGCGCCCACTCGCCGAGAATTGAACAGACGGATCCAATGATGTTCGCATCCCCCAATTCAAAAGCCTACATGAATCCAAACGTTGTTGGAAGTGTTGCGTCTTTACAAAAAGTCGTTACAAATACCCCAGGACCGTTTGCGATTGACTCAAGAAAGGTTCCTAGTCATGAAGAACTGCCAATGTACAATAGAAAACCTAGTATGGGACGTCCCGGTGACATAATTTCACCACCTTTGACTGCGGAGCCTGAACATATCGATCGAACACTCTCGACAAGCTCGGGTCATTCTAGAACTTCAACAAATAGCTCGAATCATAATTTCCCAATGCCACCACGCAACAAAGGATATGGTATTCTATCACCTGAAGTGCGAGAAGATACTCAGGAATCCTGGCGTCAAGAAGCTATAAGATCACAAACATTTCCTCGACGAAAGGAAAGTTTAGATTTTCATGCGTCACGTAGAAATCAATCGATATCAAGTCATAGGTCACGAGAATCGAATGACAGAGGACGGAAAACATCAATCTCTGGTCCTGATACATCAAGAGCATTACCACCGCGAGGCGCAAGTCTCATCAGAGGAAGATCAGGACATCAAGCTGGAGATCTTCCACCATTACCCAATATCAACTTGGAAGCAGAATTTGGTGCTAATAATCCATACCATTCGGCATCTAATTCTCAATCATCCACTCATTCATATACTTCTTCCACTTCTGCAGGGAGTAAGAGTAGCTCACGGTCAAGCCCGCCATCCACAGTGGAAAGCGATTACCACAGGAGACAGCAATCAAATCCCAGAATGTCTGATCTCATGTCTGAAATTACTTCATCAATGGCACATATTTCACCACATGAAATGTACCCCAGACCAAGCGATTTAGAACCAGTCAAAGAACAAGAACCATACTCGCCTCTGAGTCCCGCCTTTCAATCTCCAGATTACGCCCCCAATCCTGTCAATCGCCTATCGCCTACACCTCGTGTTCCCCCACCCGCGCCTCTCAAACCCCGCAATCGTGACCCCTCACCTGCGCCACTGAATCCTCGATTACGAAATCTTTCACCAGCCCCTATGAACGGTTTCCAAAGATCTCACACAGCTCCACTCCTCGATCAGAACAAACCTCTACCCGCTCCTCGCCGCCCCGCCACTTCAAAAGGTAATTGCAAATCTTGCACGCTTCCCATAAAAGGCAAATCCGTATCTTCAGCAGATGGACGTCTAACTGGTCGCTATCATAAACCATGTTTCGTATGCACAACTTGTCGAGCTCCGTTCCTCACCTCGGAATTCTACGTTCATAATGATGCGCCATATTGTGAACATCATTATCATCAATTGAATAATTCAATGTGCTCTGGTTGTGATAGGGGTATCGAGGGACAATATTTGGAAAGCGAGAAGAAGGAGAAGTTTCATCCAAGCTGTTTGAATTGTGCGGATTGTAAGAGAAATTTGAGACACGATTATTTTGAGATGGGTGGAAAGATTTATTGTGAGCGGGATGCTTTCAGGAGAGCACAGGAATCACGCAAAGGAGGCTTGGGTGCTGGACTGGGTGCGGAAACGACGAGGATGGAAAGGAGAACTACGAGATTAATGATGATGTAGTGGCTCTGGGATATACAGAGATTGGATTTGAGGCGCTTAATACTTTGAGGATTGTGCTGTTTTATACCATATAGTCTTGAATAGACTTGCGTTGCTTTTTTTGTTCTTTCAAGGCATAGCGAAGCGTTGCATTATACCTTCTTTTTTCTCTTCGATTTTCATTTTCGATTGGTCTGAAGACCTTTGATTTCGATTTCAGCTTCGGCTTCGATTTCGACTTTCGTTTATCTATATACCCTTACTTATTTTTATTTTCAGCGCAAGCAAATAATGCGTTAATTTTTATACCTACCTCGCTGGGGATTTTTGTTTGTACGTTGGCTTTTTGTATATGTTTTTTCAAAAGAGGATTCTGGGGTTTAAAGCTGGGTGGAGTGGGATTCGTAGTATATATGGGGAAAGATGGAGATGGTAAAAAGGAGGTAAAATAATGTTTATATGTGACTCGGGTTGGAGTTGGGCTTGTATAGGTGGATTGTGGATTGTGGATGGGTGGATGGAGTCAGAGAGGATGGAATATGATGGTGGGATGCTGCGAGGAGAGGTAGAATGCTGTATTGTAGGTATGAAATGATTTTATGGGGTGTATGGATGTATGGATGTATGCATAGTCAGTCGCCTCAAATCAAGATATAATTTTGTCACAAGGTTTCTCTTGTAAGAGTTTCAGTCTCGTATATTGATCATTTGTCCTACGAATTCTGAAGAGGATCTCTCTGAAACGCTCGTTTGATTCTTAATCCTAAGGAGGAGCCTCGAAAGGACGTTTAGTGATACGAAAGAATCAAGATTTATGAAGAGACATATTGTATTCGCAGTAAAGTAATGTTTGAAGATGGAAGATGGAAGATGGAGAATGGAAAATATATGATGCATGAAACGAGAAAATCTATAGATTGAAGATGTGTATGTATTAATGTTTAGGTAGGTAACTATTTATTATACGACGGTACGTATAGCATGGATATCATAGCATAGAAAGCATAGAAAGCCGTATCGCATTCCACCCGACTTCATCATTCATTCATAGAGCACACCAACGTTATAGTATAGTGAAGTATGTGAATTATGCGCAGAGGCATATCCATTCATTCTGAATTAGCTACCATATAAAACGAACTACGTACCTACCAACAAACAAAACAACTCAAAGACCGCATCACAATCCCATTCAAGCGTTTCATTTTCATAAAATCTTGGGAAAGTCCTTGGTCAACCCATCGGCATCTCTGCACCTTTTACATTTCCTTTACTTCGCTTCAACAAAGAAGGAGAAGCAAAGGAAAGAAAGATGATCTCAGAAAAGAGAGCGAGTTGTGATATCGTGAGTGTTTGCCGTCAAGTAGAAGAAAAACCAGATTCGCCACATTTGATGCACAGCTTGAAACCGCTGGCTCCATTCCCATTCCCAACGTGCAACCAGAATACATTAATACAAGAATTTCATCAAACAAGTTTCCCTTATCCATGACCACCCAGCCATCCACCTATCCATGCAAATGTAGATGCTATCGAGTAAAAGAAATCGGGTATACCCATTCCATTACGCCAATTTCCACAAGAAAGGTTTTGCACCGTAAAAAAATCCCTCTTCCTAACGCCATTTCATCGTAATTGTGTATGTAAAAGGAAGAGATTTAAGATGATCCACCATCGCCGTTAAGGATGCGTGCCATCTCTTCACGTTCAGCAATCCACGGGGCACATGCGATTTTTTCGGCCTCAGGGATATCGCCAGTGGCACCACCTTCACCATCAGACCACTCGCTAGGATCTTCAATGAGACCGGGACAAGCCATACGCTTCCAGTAACGACGTTCACCCTTATATTGATGAACTTGGGTTGTGAGCTCAGTAATGATCTTGTGCTCGGAAGCATAACGACGAAGCTGATTAATGTAGTCATTGGCTTTTGCAGCATGAGCTTGCATATCCGCAATATGGCATCGGAGTTCAAGATTCTCTTTGCGTTCTTGAGCAAGTTGATCACGGTAACTCTTATGCCAAGCAAGAGTGTCCTTCTCATGTTGAAACTTGTAATTGTGAGCCTTCTCCTTGATATCTTCAAGGATACCAGCAGCATGAAGAACCAACTTCCAATTTTCGTCAGCATCAGCCTTGGATGATTCGACTTCTCTACGCAATTGAGCGTTCTCAATTTCGAGATTCTCTGAACCAGCTAATGAATTGTTAGCTGTGCTTCTTCTTTATAGCAGGGGCAGTAACTTACCATTCAATTCCTCGGTAACGATATCAAGGAGCTCATCGTTGCTCAAATTCTTATCTTTGGCTCGTTGACGAACATTTCCGATCTTCTCAAGGATGCTATCGGTAATCTTTTGATTAGCAGCCAAGAGACGACTCAATTCTTCAACCATAACCATAATGTAATTAAGGTCAGATTGATGACCAGCAGGAGTTGGAAAGCCAATCATGTTAGCCATTCCGGCCATGTTCATCTGACCGTTCATTCCGTTTGTATGAGCCATACCTTGACCTGGCGATGGTGGTGCTTGTCTAGAGTTGGATGGTTGGCCGGATTGATTTGGATCACCGAATCCCTGATAATTCATCTTACGTTCCTTGCGTGTCTTGGGTGCTTGAGGTGGGGGAACGTATGTAGCGGCTGTAAGTTGAGGTGGAACGTATGCCGCTGAGGCGAGTTGAGGAAGATTGTAGGTAGAAGAAGTGAGTGGGATTTGATTGTGGAAAGGCTCTTGTACAATGGGTCTGTAGTCGAGCTCTGGAAAGGCTCGAAGGTCTTCAGTAGAAGGGAGTGAAGAGACAGAAGATGATCGAGAATGCTGAATAACCGATCCACGACGACGGGCTCTCAGATCAGTAGTAAGGGGGTGTTCAACAACTGGAAGTGGCTGGCGAGCTGATGGCGGACGAGGAGCTTTGAGAGGTCATTAGCAAACAATCGAGGCGCAATCGTTGCGATCTGAACTTACATGGTCGGACGCTCTGAACACCACGATAGCTGAATTCCTCACTTTCAATTTGTGCAGCGATTCCTTCTCCGTAGATTCCAAGACCGATGCCAGATTCTTGAAGCTCTCGATCGTGCCGAATGACCTCTGCGCGAAGGCGTTCGAGCTCTGCGTTCAAAAGGCTTGAATCAGATGTATTTGAATTAATTGAATCGCGGCGCGATGCTGGGATTAAATCCTCTAATTGAGGACGCTCAGTTGATGAAGGAAGTGTATCTGATCTCGATCTTGTTCTACTTGGTAGATTGGCTGTAAGAAGAAGAGTAGTGGTTGTTTCGAAAGTAGGAAATGGGGTTGGAGGGGATGAGCTTCTGTTAATAGAGCTATCCATGATGGAAATCAGAGGGCCCGAGCGGTGACCCAACCGACAGTGGCAGAATTTTAATTAAGAAGAGTTGAAAAAAACTGTAGCCTGAGGCGAACACCATTCGAATAAGGAACAACCACCAAAATCAGTTGAAGAAAAGCCAATGTTGTTGATATTATTGTTGCTGATTGTTTTTGAGGGTAAAAACAAGTTCAGAATTGTTGTGGGAGAAACTGAACTAAGCTAGCCACTTTGGCCAAATGGATTGAAGTTGTCCTGAGGCCATCAAAGCCTGGATCTTAGGGTTGACTATTTCATACGGACAATGAGTGAGGTCTGGGTTATGTGAAGGTTCAAGTATGAATCACACATTGGAGAGTTATCGTCTGGCTTGTGTTCTTCTATGGTCCTGTTAGTATCTGATTTGATGTTATGAGAGTTGGAGATAGTTCTCTCTACCTTCTGATAAGGGTTTGAAATCCTAGATTTGTTATATGAATATGAATGAAGGATAGTAAGGCTTCAGTCTTGTTTCCATCACTTGATAGTGGCAAGTGTACTATATAATACTTTGTAAATGTATTACAGATACTGGGTTGAGAAGTTTTGATGATACATATCTAGGTCAACTTTATAGTATTTCAAAGATCTTTCCAGCTTCCACAGTAGTGTGTGATTTTTCAGGAAAGAGCCAAAGGCTTCATAGTTCTCACCTAGTCTTATATATTCATATGTCTCAATGTAAATAGCTTTGTTCCTTCTATTGTAGCTTGGACTTTGTTGTAACGTTTTTGTTGCATCAGAAATGCAGTCGATTGTCATATGTTGTTGAAGCAATTCTTGTGTTATCAGAGTAGTGATTCAGTTAACTTTACCAAGTGATGATGCATCAGATAGTCAACATGTGGCATAACCACTTCATCAATACACCAAGTATTAGTGCTTATCTTGTCTTTCTATCATTTCTAATTTGTATCATGTAGTCGTATTGAGGCCAAATACCTGAATATAAATTCATACATTGCTGAAAATACATTACATTCTCTGATAGCTTATCAAAACGACTGTCTTTGTATTCAAAGATGAAAACAGGGGACATGAGACTCTCATCTGCTTCGAATCGATCATGGATGCAGAGAGTTCAAGACTATGCAGTACATATAGGATCCTCATAATTAGTTCTAAATGTGGGCCGAAGATTGGAATGGGGGCTTGAACGAGTAACAGAGAAACCATAAATCATGGAAATTGATTTCTAACATATTAAGGCGTTTTAAACTATCATAACTTGCCCAAATACATGGGTTCATACGTGGGTTCATATCGAGAAATGCAGGGTATAAGCTCCATGTTCAAGCTCAACCCTGTTGCCCTGCTCGGCCCATTCCCTATCATCTGAACGCTGTCTGCGAATCAAAACATGACAATTATCCTTGGGCAAAATGACCGCAGCAGTTGATCCAACGGGCACACTTAAGTTCATCTCAATCCCATTACCTATCTTACTCCAACTCAATCCAATCATCCCAAAGGGGCTCTCAAACTATCCTTCCACAGTACCAAACTCGCTATGATAATCAGGAGCCACAGTGAAAGTTCTCCATCCCTTCTCCCCAACCTTCAAGCCCAAGACATAGACATAAAATCACTCCAAAATACTCCTCAACATGTCATGACATTTGCTCCTACATTCATCCTGCCAAAACTCAAGTAGAGTAGTTTCTCCTCTACGCAAGAAGCGCATATAACTAGGATGTTCCTCCTGTCTCGCCATTTGCAAAACTAGGTCAGATCGTCCCAGATCTCCAAGCGTGTTAAAAAGATACCTCAGACCGATTTCTCCAGAGCGCAATTTACCATTCGAAACGTCAGAGAGAAAGGATGCCTGAACGGCAGGGATGTGCGGTTCGGGAATCATGTTGAGTTGGAGAGCGAGGGCTTGACATACGGCGTCGTAATCGCGGTTAGGTTAGTCGTCCCGGGACGTATAGTAAGCGTGAGGACGAGATGGATCGTCTGTCACTAACAAGTGGTTGTTATACACATCATAAATTCTCTTTGCTTCTTTCTCCCAACTCTTTTTCTCGTCGTCTAAGTTCAAGTGGGAAGCAAATCGCGAAATGCAAAGTAGACATTTGTGGTAAATAGCTGTTTCAATGTTTGCTTGTGCATTTCCATGCGCGATTCCTCGGCCCCAATCTCCAAGACCGTGTTGGATTAGTCCACCAAAACGCACCTTGCCTTTTATATAGGCCATTTATCGTTCGCCTGCTCGGTACATCTTGGCAATGGATTTTGTGGTCCCATAATAGCGTTGGAAAATGACGGGGATGAGGATTAGTACGCAGCCCCATGTGATTGTATCGTATAAGGGACCACACATATATCTCATTTCGGGGGCCATGGTGGGGATGAGACCTGGTCGCTCTTGGGCATCCAGAATATCTTCTAGTATCTTTATATAGAGAGATTCCATGTTCCACACATATTTTGTAGCTGGTGCTAAGAGATGAGTGACTTCAAGCCATGCGAACTTTTCAATTTGAGGGCAATCGGTGTGGTAACTGAAGAGGTTACTCGAGAAAGTCCACTTCAATGCCAAAAGAAGCGCATTGACGTCTTCTTTGTCGGTTTTCATGGTTCCCAATCTCGAAGAAGCGGACGATACGTGTCTACCACAGACAGAATGCAGTATCGGTAATTTTGATTCCGTATCTTCCGCATTGCATACACCTTCAATTTGTATATATCTCGCACTTGTGAAACAAAAATCAGGCGTCCAACGTTTCTTACCACCCGTTCCAGCCAAGATGAATTTCGAGTACACTTTCGTCTCGAACTCCTTGAATAATGGATCGGGCATACATATTTTGCCATCTTCATATGTCGTTTCTCCATATCTGATTATGATTTCGCTTCCAGCTTCCCCTTCAACCTCGATCTCATTCTTGATAGATGAGTTTTGACCCAAATCAATACAGATAGTGCCGGGCCGTGGAGAGGTTTCCTTGATTGGCGTGAAAGTTTCATGAAGGATAACTGGTGGTTGACTTTGATATTTCAGAGCACCTCTTGGGCCTGTCAGTCCTTTTGCCGGTTTTCATGAACTATCATCAAAGCCTGGTGCTTCCCAACCTATCGGGTATAAAAGTCGATCATGAGTTTCGGACGCATAAATATTTGCTAACAGAGTTGCACTTGGAGCGACCCTCCATTTGTCGTCCGAGATCTCAACAACATGACATCCGTCTTCGTAAAAAAGATGCAACTCTGCAAAAAAGCAAAGCGCATTTCCATAACGAACATAGGTATTATCTTCATACTTCGGCCAAAAGAACCGATCCCCTTGATTACCAGCATAGAAACCATTTCCAATATGTGCCCCAAGCACATTCTCTCCAACCGAAAGTCGCTCCGTAACATCATGAGCTACGTATTGAACGGTGGTATGATAATCCGTCCAACCTGGATCAAGAACATGCTTTGAAACCACCTGTCCATTCACTTTGAATTGATGATGTCCGAGTCCACAGGCAAATGCAACAGCTCTCACCAGTTTCCGTTCGAACGTGATTATTTTGCGGATATAAAGGGGCCTTTCTCCCCCATCGCCAATCTACCATGCTTTCCATTTATTTTCCACATCTTCGAACCAGGTACAGAAGATTAATGCCGTGTGAGGCATATAAGTTTGATTCATACTAAGAGGGTTAAGATGATCAGATCGTGGATAGGCAGTAAAGAAGTCGCTACTCTTTTCGCAGGGTTTCCCATGCTGATTCCATGATGTCACCCCTCAGACGTAGTAGATGCAGCTTTCAAAACCACCTTCAGGTTCGCATCGAATATTTCTCTGTTGTGGCCCATCACAACGCCCTGAATCCCAGAGGACTTCTCCAGAACTAGATCCCTTGCGTACAATAACTTGATAGGCACCTTGCTTCTCGCCGTCAAGATCGCTTTCGAGTTTCCAATGAAAAAGTAAGACATCGCTATCAATGCCTACTGTCTCATGAAATCCATGGATACCACAAGATGAAATCTTCATTTTGGCCGAAAACCAGGTCAGGTATTGTCGTATAGGTATAAGTTTGAATCTCTTCCACACCGCGGAATCTCAAGACCAACAACTCAAAAAAGCTTAATTGTCAGCTCTCCAGCAAATTATGCTTTCACGCTTTCAAAAAGAACCCTTATAACATATCTCGCCTTGCCGAAAGCTGAAGCCGTCGTTCATTGTTGGTTGATAGCGGACGCGAGATGTCGGGTCAATGAACGGCGAGCCCCACCCCTCGCTTCCACTCTACATTTTGCGGGGACGGGACAAGTTCGGGCTGGGGCTGGGGCTGATGACAATAGTGACTACTGAGTAGGAATGGAGGAAAGTGGAAATTTTTAAATGAGATGAGGTGCTGGATTTCTCTCGGAGTTGCAACTCGTGAAATATTAATCGAACTTGAGTTGGAGGAATTGTTCTGGATTTAATCTACTACTATTCACTGACCAATTTACAGGCAAGTTGACAATGGAATGTCTAGTAGTAGAACGAGATGAACGAGAAAGAACATTTTAGAATTTCAAAATTGATCTGGTCTACAAGTATAGTAAATAGGAGATTGTGTAAATGTAAAGTATTTCTCTGATTATATTACGTGGGAACGTATAATGACTATATAATTTTCTCTCTAATACTTTTCGACTTGTTGAACGCTGGAATAATCACGAAATATCTTCATCATGTGTGAAAACACCCTTCTCGTTCATTGCAGCTCTCGCAGCTTCCGCACCAGTAGGATCCTCCAATGCATGAGGAACCAGTTGATCACCAAATAGTTCGTCCATCTGCTCAAGTGTTTTGCCCTTGGTTCTATACAACAAGTCAGTTTTTACCGTAATTTAGATTACAGAAGCAGGAATACGTACTCTGGGTAGAATATCCAATAGCATGCTGTTGCAAGAATATTAAACACGAAAAAGACATAGAAAAATTTGAATCCGATATTGGTGAGTGCTAAAGGTCCAGTTTGGCCCAGAAGAAGATCAAGACACCAATTTGTCAGGGTTGAGATAGAATTTCCACGGGAAAAATTTCGGCGGGGTGGACCCAACTGATAATTCCAGTAAATGTATAGAAAAATGAGAAGACAAGATTCATGGCCACCATTGCCCTTAATGCATTTGCATTTGTTGATTGTTGTCCGTCGACAACGTAATACTGACTGAGAACTGTGTTGGCCAACAGAGCCAATGCAAAGCCAGTGGCTGAGAAAAACCATTGGCTTGACTCTTGCAAGTCTTTCCAAAAAGTATAAATCGAGTGCACAGTAGACAATGGAAAAAGAGCCAGAAATACCGATGATCATGAGGGAAGTACGTGTGTCAATACCCAAAAGACTATAGATAATCACTACATAGTAGTTGATAACATTGATACCTGATAGTTGACCCCATGCTTGGATTCCGCATCCCAAGATTAGTCGATGTCTCCATGATTTTTTTCGCAATGAGTTCGGACCATGATTTGACTGCTACTGTCTTTTCCGCAATAATCGTGTCTCGAATTTCAGAAAACTCCAATTCTAAGTATTCGTCGTTCGAGCCATCGCTGTGCAATTTGTAAAGAGCCTCTCTCGCCTCATCTTGTCGATCCTTCTCCATTAACCATCGAGGAGATTCTTGCAAGAACCAAGTTCCAATGGCTAGGAATAGACCAGGGACAACCCGGAATGCTAGAGGGAAGCGCCATTGAAAACTAGAAGTGGTATAGTTGCATCCGTATCCGATCTATTGAGCGGCGAAAGATCCCCATGAAAGTAAAAATCCACTCAAAGCGCCACGATATGAAGCTTCAGCAATTTTCGAGCAATACATTGGAACTAGAGCTGAGAGAATACCAACAGCTATACCGGCAATCGCACGACCTGCGATAAGTATGCCAACATTAGCAGCACCCGCTTGAAGTGCACATCCAAAAGCAAATATGGCACCTCCGAGCGCCATGGTCTCCTTCCTTCCTAAACCATCTGCCAGCCATGAGATCGTGAGTGCTCCTAAAATTGCACCATCAGTGAAGGAAGAAACCACTCCGCCCTCGGTCGATGCATCTAGTTCTCCAAAGTATGAAATGAATTCTGGCTGCCCAATTGTGGAGGTAACAATACCACTATCGTAACCAAAGAGGAAACCCAAAAGAGATATGTCAGAAAATGTCTATTCTCGTAGAGATTCAGAATATTGTTTAATTTACCTCCAATTGACAGGAAAAGACCCGTACCGATAGTCACCACCTTAACTATCGTCGGCTATCAAAAGAACTCCTTGTAAAGCTAATACTTCTTGGTGTTGTCTCGGAAAATGTTATCAGAGAGCTTCCCAGTTACCTTGAGATAAGTCTGCAAGAATTACTACCAGAGCCATAGAGGATCTACATTACATCAAGTAACCAAAACTTCTCATTTTAAGAGCATCAATTATGGTTAGATTCTCTCACCTCTGCTTGTGCTACAGTCTCGAATATAACCAACACAACTCTCTATCAACCCGCCTCAATTTACGGGACACAACCGACACATTTCGTACAAATAGGAGCCGAAAGATAGCACCTTATGCCAGGAATACCACGGTATCACAGTCCCCAATACCTGGGAGCTGGACTTGGCGGGGTGCATGTCCTCACCACTTGATACGCGAATTCAGGCTCTGGAGTATGGAGAATGGGGCTTGTATGGGGTTGCTATGCTGCGATGTTCCAACGATGGTCTAGGACCCATAGTTTGGTAATTTCGCAATTCCAGCATTTAAAACCGAGATGGTGGACGAGATGGAAACCAAACGTCCCTTTTGTGTCACGAGTACGCACGGAAGTAGGGTCGTGGCGAGGCGAGTGTGTGGTGGCTAGAACAATCATCTCATATTTGTTTGTCGTACTACACTATTGCAAACTTGCCATCATAGATGTCGACAACTTGTCTGCTCAATTGATATGGGCATTGAATGTAATGCAAGTCAGCATGCTAAAGGTAATGTACATTCGCCATATGCCCATATCTTCATCGTCGGTTCAACTGGGCCTCGACGAAGATACATATGTTGCCCTATACTCCTGCTATCTGTCAATGGTATATCTATACTATGAATCTGACGTCTTAAATTTGCCCAGTCAAACGGGCAAGATCTTCATCATCACAGGCGGAACATCAGGCGTCGGTCTCGAACTGGCTACTATACTCTACAGGGCTGGCGGCAAGTCTACAAAGATGGACGCTCAGAAAACAGCGCTCAAAAATGTATTGAGCATATCAAATCATCATCAACATCAAAATTACCTGGCCAGCTTGAATTCCTCCCTACAGAATTAGATGTTCTGAGTACGATCAAATGACCAGCGGAGTCCTTCATGAAGAAAGAAACAAAGCTCAATGTCCTCTGGAATAATGCAGGCGTTTCGCAACCAGCGTTAGGTAGCGTATCTAAACAAGGCTTTGGGCTCCAAATGGCCACGAATTGTTTAGATCCGTTTCTCTTCACCCAGTATCTTCTCCCGTGCCTGAAAGCTGCGGCAAAAGAAGCCAACCCTGGCGCTGCCTGTATGGTCTGAACAAATTCTCAGTTCTCAGAGCTTACGGCTCCCAAAGATGGAATTATCATGTCTGAACTTGATACTCCTCCCAACGATCAAGTCAAGAATTAAAATAATTCTAAAATTGGCAATTGGTTCTTGGCTAGTGAATTGGCGAAGGAGGTTGGAGAATTCGGGATTTTGAGTGTGTCGCAGAATCCGGGTAATTTGAAGACGAATTTGTTGAGGAATGCGAAATCGATGTATTATGCTGCTTGGTCGCTTTTGTATAAGGCGAGATGGGAGCATATACAGAGCTTTGGGCAGGATTGTCGGATAATCTCGTCTCAAGTCCCAGCACAATTTTTTTGGAATCGCTGAGTCGGAGTGCTCCATCTTTATACACAATCTTTTTGAAGCAAATATCTCCACTTGCCCATTTTGAAGAAGTTAGTCATAGATAAGAACTCGTAAAAGCGTTCAAAAATATATCAGACGGTATGAGAAAGCACCTAAATAACTAGAAACATGTGACAATCGTGAGTTTGGAGATTGAGTAATACACAGGCGGGATACGAGAGGGACAGCCTTGACCTATAGTTTATCTCGATATGCGAGCAGGAACATGTAGATAACAAATATCGAGTGACTACTCTAAGGGTACTATCACTTGCCTCAAAGATATGGATATCGGGAATCATCGCCAATTAATAGAATATGCACCTAGCAACGAAGCTAAACACTCCAATCTTCGCTCTTCCGAACTCCAATCTACAAACCATTCCACCATTCTGTCCTCTCCACCTCAAATGTTGCCTTCAATTCTCCAGTCAACTCGCTGGTATTACCCACAAGAACATCATATACATCCTTCTCCACAATCCAAGCCTCTCTAACTTCATCCCAAAATGCCGCCGCATATTTGACTTCAATCTCAACCTCCACCCTCTTCTCCTCTCCAGCCTCTAGAAATACTTTCTCGAATCCCTTCAGTTCTTTATTTGGTCTGCGGATAGATGGGTTCTGTTGCTGGATATAAACTTGAACGACCTCTGCTCCTGAGACTTCTCCTGTATTCTTGACCTTCACCGAAATCTTAATCTTCTTATCGATTTTCTCGACATTCAAATCAGATATTGCGAATGTGGTATAGCTAAGTCCGTGGCCGAAGGGGAACAGCACAGGTAAATTTAGTGCCTCGTACCATCTATAACCCATATAAATGTCTTCACCATAGATGACCCTACCCCTCTCAGATCTAAAACTCAAAAAGGCCGGGTTATCTTCGATTCTTTTTGGAAATGATAAAGGTAATTTTGCCGAGGGATTAGTTTTACCGAAAATGACATCGGCGATAGCATTGCCAGTCTCGTTGCCCCCATACCAGGCTTGAAGAAGGGCGGGAGTTGTAGATAGAAAAGGGAGGGCGACGGGAGTGCCGGATTGAATGACAACAACTGTATTGGGATTGAGGGGGGTGAGGGTCGAGATCAATTTGTTCATGTGCAATGGGAGACCGAAAATTTCTCGATCGGCTCCTTCGCCTTCCCAGTCGGACTAAAAAACTGTTAGAAATATTCCCTGTATTAAAAGGAGACAACTCACGTTTAGACCGGCGCAGATGATTACTTGATCGGCTTCTTTGGCCAGTTCTGCTGCACGCGCAATTTCCTCATCCGCATCAATGATTTTCGCGCCACCAAGTCGTATGGCACCAGGACCAAATAGGACATTATTTCCTTTATCCAGCTTGCAAGTGGGTGAACTGGCAAACTCAACTTTGAGATGGTAGGTTTGTCCTTTATTTAGTGATACAACACCTCGCTCTTCAACTGTACCACACGAGAAAAACATGGTTCCCCTGGTCTGTTTTGTTGTGTTGTCAATGACTAGCTTGTCATCCACATACAGGTTGGCAGTTCCATATACTCCTAAGCCGAATTCAAATTCACAGTCCTCTTCGGCAGTCATATATCCTTCAACATCAGCCCACCACAATTCGTTCTTCAGCTTGGGACATTTATAATCCATCATTAAGAGTTCTGTCTTGGTGAGTATTATCTCATCCGCTAGTTCTCTATTTTTAGCTGTTGGTGGCTCGTTATATGCTCGAAAAGAGAAACCTCTTTCTCCCTTGTCTGTCTTGAGAACTAGATCCAGCAATGGGAGGTCCTTGTGTGCGTAAGCTCCTACGGTGTAAGATGGAGTTGATTCCAGCTGTGCACTAATACCGTCAAACGGTGTGACAGCGTAGTATGCTGCCAAAGATGCTGATCCGCCTCCATGAAATGTAGCAACTTTGGCATTGGGACCGACAATGAAAGTCTGTAGAGATTAGCTTAAAATTGGCGTATAGTTATAACAGGATATAATATTTTACCTTTTTATCTTTTCGGAATGGTAATACGCTACCCTCATTTTTCATCAACACAATCGAGTCACCTGCTATCTCTCTGAGGAGAGCAGCTGTCTCTGGAGTATCGGCAGTCTTTTCCTCCGCATTTTCGGGAACATTCGCATCCGCAGCACGGTTGACAGTATTGAGCACGCTCCTGGCTCGCTCGTCAAGAACATGCTGAGGTACCTTTCCAGTGCTAACAGCTTGTATCAACATTGGACCCCTCCATTTGGTTGAACCTGGCATTTCCAAATCCAGCCCAGCATTAATAGCACCCGTGGTGGAGTATGTGCCCCACCAGTCACTCATAATACATCCACTCCAGCCCCATTCTCCACGCAAAATATCCTTAAGGATCCTTGGATTTTCACTAACGTGAGTCCCGTTAATTTTGTTATAAGCACTCATAAATAATGCCGGCTTCGAATCTCTGACAACCAGTTGGAATGGTAGTAAGTATATCTCCCTCAAGGCTCTCTCGGTAATTATAACATTTACACCATTTCTGTTATGTTCTTGATCGTTACAAACAAAATGTTTGATTGTAGCTTGAACACCGGTCTCTTGAATACCATTAACAAGTGCAGCAGCGCCTATTCCTGATAACACAGGATCTTCACTGAAAGATTCGAAACCACGGCCCCCTAAAGGTGATCTTTGCATATTGATGGTGGGCCCAAGAATCACATGGACACCTTTTGCTTTCGCTTCTTCCCCCATCAAAACACCTGCGCGATGAAGGAGTTTAGTGTCCCATGTTGCAGCAAGAGCAGTGCCGCAAGGAAAACAAGCTGCTGTGATACCGTTGAAGAAACGAGTACCACGTACACCATTAGGACCGTCTGACACTCGAATCGAAGGCACATTGTACTTGGGGATGGCAGCGGTATGCCACCAATCAGTACCTAGGTATTGTTAGATATCGTGACTTTGAGAAATGTAGGGATGCTGGATGTATGCACCCGCTAACAAGGAAACCTTTTCCACATTGTTAAGCTTTGAAAGCACATCCTCCACATCGAATTTGTTTGTCATTATGAGATTTTAAGATGTGATATTCAGCATTGGAAGTCACTGGAGTAAAATGAGTAAGTTGAGAGACTGGTGAGATTGGAAAGACCGAAGAGACTGGATATATAATGCTCGATGGAAAGAGTACAAGAGTACATGTGTCCGCACTCAAATTTGGAAAGAAGCATCCCAGATGCTTATGGAATGTCGGCCATGCATCACGCTTGTTTACGCTTGTCTACCCTCGTTCGTCACATCATCGATTCATCCGATCTTGCCAATCTTTCACGACAGATATTCCTGTTACTATTGGCGTATCGAGATGCTTCCTTCCTAGTTCTAACTTGTTAGATACCTAGGTAGTTAAAGTAACGGGTAATATTCGGTCACGGAGTTTCTTCGGAGCAAGTATTTAAGTATAAATGCGGAAGAGTAGGTTCCGTTGGGAAATCAGAGCCGGGAAGTCATGTTTGGGGTGAATGATCAACATACAAGTCTAATATGTGGGCCCAATGGAAGATGTCAGTCGGTCAAAAATTTAGTTGAATTCGGGGGGTCAAAGTTATGCGGCAGGTGCGGGTAGGATGTTCCGCTCCTTATCGGCAATCGATAGGCCGAGCCACGCGTTGGTCCTTGGCATGGTTCTTCAGTCGGCGTGTGCCTTCAAAATTAACTCTATTAAACATTCCGAGCCATGATGGGATGTAATGTAATGCTCATCGTATTCAAAATGTGACTGGACACGCAAATTGGACTCGGTAATATGAATCACATCCATCACATCCATTCGACCAGGGATATCGTTTGTCCATAAAGGGGACGCGGCAAACATGGTATATTCATTCATTATATCATAATCAGGCTGTACAATCGTGAACTAACCCGCTACCAAAACTCCATACTGACCTTATTCATGCAACAAGAATAGACTGTCAAATCTTAATATCTGACCATTCAATAACCTGTATGTTCTTGACCAAAAAATCAACGACAAGAAACCATAGCGCTCGTTCCCCTGGATACACTCGTGTCTTCATATCCGCATTTAAGCCATTGTCGCAGTAGCCGCTCTCTGTCCTCTCTCAGAATTTCTGTTCCTCCTTCCGCCACCAGGTCTTGCAAGTGTATACTTCGCAAAAGCACGGGCGAGTGCTTTCTTGCAACTAATCTTTTGACTCCCAACGAAAGAATCAATGGTGACAGCAATCGCTCGATCAATATCCTGCGCAGAGACATATTCAGAGAGGCGCATTCGACAAAACGCTTCACTGATACGCATGATGGCTTCAAGATGGCGAACCTAAAGGTTATATTAGCAATATAGAGTGGGATGGGAGTTTGCATTTACTTACAGTGATAGGATAAGCTCCGGTCGCTAATGATTCTCTTCTCATATCTGCAAAGAGCTTGGAAACTTTCTCTTCATCGATGTTGTATAGCTTTGGGCTGCATCTTTCTCTAGCATAAAGAATGTATTTTCGAAGCAACTCTTGTTTGATCTCGCCTTCTTGTTTTGGCTCGCCACCATTGATAGCACTGTCGCGCATTTCAGCGTCATGCTCTGTTTCCATAGAGGCTTGATTTTCATCCGTAGGTTGGCTTCCTGGATGGGAACGACAGTGAGAACCCACGACGAATCTAGCGAGTCTTTCATCTTCCGCCGGATCGACAGTATCACGAACAACGCAAAGAATGTCGAAACGAGACAAAATTGGCTCAGTGAGCTCAACATTCTGTGAGAAGGGGATGGTTGAATTGTAACGTCCACCAATTGGATTGGCTGCCGCAATAATACCACATCGAGCCTGGAGTGTTGTGACGATACCAGCTTTGGAGATCGAAATAGTTTGTTGTTCCATAGCTTCGTGAATTGATGTTCGATCTTGATCGTTCATCTTATCAAACTCATCGATGAGACATGTTCCTCTATCTGCAAGCACCAAAGCACCACCTTCCAAAGTCCACTCACTAGTAAGAGGATCTTTGCGTACACTTGCTGTGAGACCAACAGCACTAGCTCCTTGACCAGTGGCAAAGACTGCTCTGTGGGCGGTCTTTTCTACATACTTTAAAACTTGAGATTTTGCTGTTCCAGGATCTCCAAGAAGTAGTACATTTATATCACCACGGATATGATGCTTTCCTTGAGCAACTTTGGCAACTCCACCCATGAGTGACAAGGCCACGGCTGTTTTGATATCAGTATGGCCATAAATACTTGGAGCAATCGAATTGATAATTTTATCCACAATTTGAGGATCCCGAGAAAGTGCGCGAATCTCATGCTCATCTTCTTCTGTGAGTCTGAATCCAGCAAGTTGGTCATGAGATTTGACAACATTGTTGGCCTCTAATATTGTTGCAAATACAGGGAAACCGTTTCGATTGTTCAATTGAGCATCGTAGTTATTGCGGTAAACACCCGTGACTTCAATCTCCTCGCCGGGCTTGGCTTTGTCGATAAGATCCCAGAGAAGAATAACTTCACGATGACGGGGCAGACGACCAGCAGGAACAGTGCCTGGAGATTCTTGAAGGGTCAATTTTTGATAGTTGCGATAGACAGTTTTCTCCGAGTTCAGGTTGAAAGGACCACGAGATTGACAATTTGCACAGAAAGAAATCTTAACTTCCACATTGGACTCTTGTTGGAAAGGGCCAAGTCTTGTATGACATTTGGAACAATCGAACATGACATATTTCAATTGGGGAAATACACCACTTCGGCGAGTAACCACACCGCTGACTCTAACAAGACAATTTAAATGTGTTTGGCGAAGTTGTCGTAAAGTATAATGAACGGGTAAATCGGTAATTCGAACGTGAATCTCGGAATGAATTTGTTGGTAATCATTATAATGCAAAAGGGTAACCTCCATAGCAACTTCATCGAATAATTGAAGCATCTCGCCTGGAGCATTCGCCAAGAAATATGCAAGGATGGCTTTCGAGGCGGATAAATGGTCATATGAAACCTCTAATGATTCTGCGTTGATCTCTCCTAGTGTCTTGATGCGGCTACCATAAACAGAAACTCCATGGTCGTCGGTGTATTCGGTGAGAAAAGCTTTGAATTCTCTCCGAATAGTTCTTTGAACGGATGGTGTAGCAATCCACTCGACCAGACTGGACGACTTGACGTCCTGTAAAGTCTCGAGAGACAATTCTTCTTCCATAATATCCTCTTGCATGTCTTCATCTTCGTCTTCATCATAGTGATGGCGTCTACGTCTTGGTTGGTTCATTAAATCCAAGTCTCCGTCCTCATCTTCATCTTGCAAGAAAGCAGCTGGCATACGGCGCTGTCTAGCAAGCTCTCTATCACGACGATTCAATCGGGCTTCGAGCTGTCTTCTGGCAGCAGCGTCGAGTTCATCGTAGTCCCCTTCGTCGTCAATATCCGCACCCTCGTAATTTGTATTGTCTTGGGCATTGTAATCTCGTTCATAATTGCCAGCGAAGAGGTCAATTCCATCCTCATCTTCTGCCATCTCATCTACATCATCGATATCGACAGCGATCTCAACATCATCCTCTATCTCGTCATCATCCTCGTCTTCGACACCGTGCCGGATTGGTGCTGGTGGGGAGGATCTGAAATCTCCAGGTGGACTAGAAGGTGCGGCACCACCTGGCAAATCATCATCTTCTGGCTCTCTGGAGCGCTTGCGACGATTTCGACCCCCATCGACACCGCGGTTGGCTGATGACATGTTATTTCGCAGAGGGGAACTATTGGGTGCAAAAGGTCAATAGAGTTCAGGGGTAAACAATGATTCAGAGCTGTGGGTGTTGTGCTTGAGGTAGTAAACAATTCTCACCTCATAGTAGATTAGAAGACTAAAGTATCGTGAAGTATTAGAAAATGTTACAAGTAAAGTTAAATGAGTGCGAGTTGTTAATTGTGCTGAAGTTCACTTTGAGCAAAGTTGAAGTGCTTGCATAAATTAATGGTAGGGGAAAACACGTAAAATCTGCCGTCCGGACGCGACGCGGCAAGCTAAACCCATTACAAAGCCGAGCGCGTAAAGTGGTTTTTGGCGTTTTGGCGGCCGCATCATTGCGACAAACCATCTCTACTTGATAACTCAATTAATTTACCTTTCACAACTTTTTGGAGGATTTGACGTCTCAAGTTAACAATGGAACCTCCACTAGATATTCAGTCAAATGAGGCCTCTGTGAATCAAACCGGCGGCGCCTCAAGAAGTCATAGTTTCTCCTCTCAGAAGTCGAACGATTCACATACAGCAGCTGAGTATGCGATTTTCCATTCCTGTGGTATTCGCGACGGAATTACATGCTCACATGTATACCAGATTCATCAGCACGCAACTGAAGCTCGAAGCAGAAGCTCGCGAAGTATTGCCATATGTAATTACAAAGCTACTTTTTAAATGCTTGAAACTTTTACTGATTGGCTTGACTAGAGCATCGATACATGCACAAAGCCTCTTGGATCTCTTCGACAAATTCTGTTTGCTTGTTTGACATGCAATCCTGCTCCATCTAACGTATCTGATCCGTATAATCCTGCTGGCGTCTGTTATTCCTGCTCCATACAATGCCATGGCGAGCACAATCTCGTGGAACTATTTAACAAACGAAACTTCACTTGCGATTGCGGCACGACACGTTTTCTAGCAACTTCGCCTTGTAGCTTGCGCATCAATTCAGAGACAAATACAAAGGGCAATGTACACTCGGAAGCTCCAGAACTGAAAAATAAATACAATCACAATTTCAGAAATCGATTTTGTGGTTGCGGATGCGACTATGATGCTTATAAAGAGAAGGGCACGATGTTTCAATGCTTGGGTCTAGGTGGTACTGGTGAAGGTGGCTGTGGGGAGGATTGGTGGCATCCTGGATGCATTACAGGTTTAGGACCAAATTGGTACGAGAGTATGAGTAATGAAGACTCACCAGAGAAGTCCAAGCAAAACAAAGAAGGCACGCTGGAATCTATTACAGAAGTTGTAGAATCATCTGCAGTTGAACTAACCAAAGATGGAACGAATGAGAAGTCAATTGAAGTCGAGGCACCGGTCGACCAACAAGAAGACAAAGAGGAGGAAGAAGAAGAAGATCCGCCTCTACCTCCAGGATTCCCCAACGAAGACGAATTTGAAGGATTTATCTGCTACAAATGTGTTGATGCAAATCCATGGATCAAAAGATATGCTGGTGCACCGGGTTTCCTCTCTCCTGTTTTCAAAAGAAGTGCAGCTCCTTCTCCTGAACGTGAGATTCCTCCCACCTCTACGAATTCCCTCGCGCCATCATTCTCGGAATCTAGGAAGCGCAAACAAGAAGATGACGATATATCGACCTGTTCTTCAGCTTCGAAGCGAATCAAGGGTGAGGAAGGAGAGAGGTCAACGGACAAGGGTTCTAATAGCACCGATGATAGCAAATCTGCAGCATGCAAATTGAAGGCATTGCCAAAAGCACCCGATGGTCAAGTCTCATTATTTTTTACATCCGACTTTCGTGACCACCTCTGTCATTGTTCAGACTGCTTCCCAGAACTAGCCAAACATCCACAGCTTCTGGAAGAGGAAGAAACTTATGAGCCCCCAGTATCAGAAGACGGAGATGAAGGAGGAAGCACAGTCGGTAGCGGGAGCATATATGATCGTGGCGAAAGTGCTCTCAAAAATGTTGATCGTGTTAGAGCTATTGAGGGTGTAATGGCATACAATCATTTGAAGGATAAACTCAAACCGTTTTTCCAAAAATTCGCAGAAAGCGGTCAAGCTATAAGCGCAGATGATATCAAAGAACATTTTGCGAAGATAAGAGGTGATGAGCAGGCTATCAAAGATGCTGGCGAAGGAGCCAAGGCGGATGACAATAGGAAGGAGCAAGGTGGCTGTTGATTGACGGGCCGTGATATCTGTTTTAAATAATGTACGATAGGGAGAATAATCTTTAATGAACTGTTATGACTTACAAATACAAAGCCTCTATCGACTTGAATTTTCTTTCTTGGTATATCCATCGATACTACCTTTCAACAACGTTACATCAAGTTGCGTCACAATATTTTCTCCAGCAATTCTTGATCAATCTGCCATCATTCAATCATTGCATGTGCAAGATTATGTCGACTTCACGATCCGAAGAACATGTGGAGAGTACAGAAGCTACGGAAATGCAAGACGAGTTAAAGGAGGCGGTAAATTCGTCTGGAGATGACTCGGCAAACATTATATTACGCAATACTTTACATAGGTCACAAGAAGCATTGGTGGCTGCAGACGAAACCGATTTATATGATCCCGAAAGACTTCAAACAGGGAGCAAGACACCAGTTCTCGATAGTGGCGTGCGGTATTATGGGTATCATTGGGGGTCAGAAAGACCAAAGAACTACAATTATTTGATATACGAACTTCAGAAAGAACGAGGAAGTCCTCCTCCTAGCGAAGAGCTATATGAATCATATAAGTTTGCTGCTGCCACAACGAATGGTAACGAATCTTCATTATTCAATGCAGCGAAGGTCTTCTTCAAAGATTGGGACAATGATAACGGAAATGAAAATGGAAACTATGGTCAGATTGTCCAGGAGGAGTTTACGATATTCGGGAAACGTGCTACAGAAGTGGATCTAAAGTCACCCATGCCGCACTTAGTCGAAGGATTTCGAGATGGCAGAGTATATCTAGAACAATTGTATGAAAGTTTCGACGGAGCGGCCGATATGATCAGGGACGAGCGGACACGGTCATCAGCATTTTGCCATTTTGCAGGGGAGTACGCACCTAGTGGTACTTCATTTGGCTGCGAAGCCGTTCGTCTGAGATACATAGGCGCTTTCTTGGTTGCAGAACGACGACTAGCTTTTCACTATCTGAAGAAATTCTCCTCCAGTGGAGAATACTACCGGTGTGACAAGAAAGATTATGCCAGCGTCATCACTTTCATAATGAGTGAATCTCGCATTACTCTGTTCGCACATTTCGGTCGAACAGGCTCGAATATGGAATATAATGATGGAAAATATCTAGAATTCCACATGTCCGAGCTTCTCTGCCTTTCTCCAGCGACATCGTATGAGACATTCAGGGAAGCATGGGCAATACTGAGAAATGCCCAAGAATATTCGAAAGACCAAGCCGTTCTGATCGCCCTAGAAATGGAAAAGAGTATGCAGGTAGCTGCGTGGAAAGCTTTCAATGCAGAGAAGAAAGATGTGGCTAGAGGGGATTCTCAGTCGGTGCTTGCTCGCAGGCGGATAATGGCTATTGAGGCGTGGAGGTCTGAGGAGGAAATGATTCAAAGTAGAAGGAATCTGGATGGGGTGGGGCCAGAGGATAGGGAAGCCTATTTCAGATTGCAGGAAGTGAGGTATGACTGAGTTTTAATTGCGTATTAAAAACATAAGATAATCGAGTTCCAATAGCTATTAATCCGTAATGAATACATAAATTTCTAATGAGAATGATATTAAATGAAGATAATCTAAAACTAGCGTGCCACAATCCTAGAAACAAACGACTGGCAGTAATCCCATTAACAAAACATTTCATGTTAATAACAGAGGCAACTTTATATATACATTATCTTGACGAATCCAAAACACAATCTAGCCCCAGAGAAATTTCTTTAATGTGAGGAAGTAGAACTAGGTCACCAGACTCATGGGTGAATAGTCTTGGAGAATTTGGCGATGTAAGCTGACGTTCACGAGGTTGGGATAATCTAGCATTTTGTCGCAAAGACATTTCGATGCTACTGAGTCTTTCTGTATCTCTACTTACGGGGTGGTCAACACTATTGCTGTCGGCCCAGGCAGATACACGATTTCGAAGTCCTGGATCTTTTGCTGTGGGAGGTTTTCCAAGATGTGTGACTTTTAAGAGTACGCTGAAACGATGCTTCCATTGAGAATTATGGCTTGGAAGACCAGCTTCTCGGTTCTCGTCGGAGATTTTTTCTCGCTCGTCTATTTTGGACGTTAGAGGAACTTTACAATGTATGTGTTTAGATACTCACCCAAATAACCCTCAAGTGCAGCAATTATGGGAAGAATTAGGAGAATACAGGCAACAAATTGACCAAATGTCCATGCATTTTGTTGTTCGATGAAGTCTTCGGTGGTTTCTAAACCTGGATATCGGGATATGTCCCTGAATACAAGGGCACGTCTAACGCCGAAACCCAGTCCGAGTAAAATTGGAGGAATAGGTATCACCCAAAACGATACAATTACCGTCTGAAAAGCGTAGGCTAGCCACAGGCACAATCTCTCGCGACCAGTGATGCAGAGAATTTTCAAACACCGGCTGTAAATAGAAAGACTGAAGCCGTTCCGAATACATTGCGGAATGCATTGGAGAAATGCTTGAAAGAAAAGGAAGGATAAGGTAGCAATACGTAGTTGATGATCATAGCCGTGATATGGAAATTGAGCTGTACATCTTGCCAAACAAGCTGCTGCTTCGCCAGATACATGCTCGCTGTTGTAGGATCTATACATGCCAGCTGTGTTCCCGAAGCTTCTTGCTCGAGATTGTGCGAAGATGAAAAGTATGAAGTTGCCGATGTATCCACAGAATCTAATTCCTGCCAATACATGGTTTTGTAAAAAATGATCGCCCATGGAAACGAAAGCTACTGTATGTGTAAAGCTAGAGAACCAAGCTAGGTACACGATAATGTTGTAATGGTAGGCGCTAATAGTGTGGAAATTGTAAAGTCCGGCAATCATAACAGCGGAACTTGTCACTAGTTGTTGATCCGCAAGTGAAAGGATAAGGGGAGTCACAGCGGCGTTTATGAGCCTGTATCTAGGTAGATTTGGTTTGTTGGAATATCGGAGAAGGATCCATCGTCTGCAAATTCGTACTTTCTCCTTGGCCGCGTGATACAAATTCGCTGCTGTACCTTTAGTGGATTGGTGATCAAAATCGTGATATTCTGGCTCTGTATGTTCGGCATATTCGCAGGAATGAAGTGCAAGTTGGCATGGAAGACGTATGACTGCGGCCGAGAGTGTTAAAAGCGCCGTTGCAAGGAAGGAGATATAGATCTGGTTGTAGATTAGAAACATCGTTCGGTTTATTCAAGTACTGATATCTCGAGTGGAACATACGCCGACTCCTTCAATCTCGATGTCAGCTGAAAGTGGACCGCAGTTATCTGGGAAATTGGAGCATTCGTTATTATCAAGAGAAATGCTCATGGTTCTGGATTCGGTGTGGGTTTGGAATTAGTTTCTGACTTCAGACAGCCAAAGACTGAGCAGAAATCGATTTGATATACGTAGCGGGGCATATTCATGTGCCGACATCATCAAGAGAAGAAGGAGCAAGCATGATCATAATTATGGGCTATATTAGCAACAATGATAGTGATTGTACTTGTAAAGGTAGAGCAACTGCGAAGAGAGTTGCATCTTTATTCATCGCACTTGCTTTGAAATAGGACCTCGCTGCAGAAGGACTAAGGGAGCTACAAATAATTTACATTGTTCGACAGGAGCGAGAATTGAGATATCGGGAGTGCGGTATATTGCGAACGAAGGTAATCGACCAAATCACAAGAACCGAGGCAAATCGAAGTCTTCAACCAGTTTTTCCAGTTGATTAGAAAGAGGACAAGCAGATTTGAGTAAAGAGATACATATAAAATTGCAACTACATCTGCGACAATTGTGTGTATATCTTCAATATTTTGAAGCCACGCTCTTCAGTCAGTGTTTTATATTCTCCATACGTCGCTTGGTGACAGGGGAGCTCAGAGGTCGGAGCTTCCACCAATCACAACAACGCCGATTCAGGACACGCACACTAGTCGAATATGGGACTAGTATGGCAGAATGACAGTGACCGCTTTGAATCCTTGACGATGATAGGTTATCGGGAATTCTGACGATTGTGCGATAAAATCTGGAGAATTGTTTGAATTTCTCGATATTCAAAAAGAAATCAATGAATTCTTGAGCCATGTTGTTGGTATGTATAGCTTGATTTGAAATTATTTCTTTCGCTGATTATTACTTTGCTAGAGAATTGGTCCAAAGGGCCTGCGAGTCAGGGCTTCCCGTCCTTTACACGAATTGGGAGCTCTCCGCGGGGGCTATCGTGCATATACGGCGACGGCGAGACGTTGGCAAGATGTATTTCACTCGCAGACCGAAGATCCAAACTCTTCGGCCATTCTATCTTCCCTAAAAACTACGCCTCGTGTTGCGCAGACACTCACGGAGAAAATTGTTCAACGATATTCCCTCGGACTTGCGAAGGATAAGGTTGTGAAGTCTGGAGGTATGGAATTAACATTTTACACTACGAGATCCGGAAGACCTATCTCTGCCGGCTTTCATTTTCTATCGAATCAACTTTAAGCATGTATATGTGCTGATATTTTTACAGATTATGTTACCCTCTCACCCCATTACTGCATGACCCATGAGTGAGTCAACATTATCCAAAGCCGCTACTCATCAATTCTAATGATATCTAGCAATTCCTGGCCCGTCGCAACTAAATTCATGTCCATTGGTGCAACCAAAATTCACAATACTAATCAAATTGTTTGCACTCTCGATCACGATGTACAGAACAAAAGCGAAACGAACCTTAAGAAGTACAAACAAATTGAGGAATTTGCACGCCAGCAAGGTGTGGACTTTTACCCCGCAGGACGAGGAATTGGACATCAGATTATGGTAGAGGAAGGATATGCTTGGCCCGGAACTGTCACTGTCGCTTCAGACAGTCACAGTAACATGTATGGTGGTATCGGATGCTTGGGCACACCTATGGTGCGAACAGATGCCGCAAGTATTTGGGCAACAGGTCGAACCTGGTGGCAGATTCCACCAATCGCTAAAGTCACCCTCACTGGAGTTTTACCAATCGGAGTTACAGGGAAAGATGTCATCGTTGCACTTTGCGGTCTATTCAACAGTGACGACGTTCTCAACCACGCCATCGAATTCACAGGATCGGAACAAACAATGCGCAGTTTACCCATCGATGATAGACTTACCATTGCAAACATGACAACCGAATGGGGTGCTCTATCAGGTTTGTTCCCAATTGATTCGGTCCTCGAGAAATGGTTGAGATATAAGGCTACAACAAGTGCAATGTTTGCCCCGAATAACGGCAAAGAACCCCGATTCACCCATGCTCGCATCGATGACTTGGTTCAAAATCAACTTGTAGCAGATAAGGGAGCTACCTACGCCAAATCTTTGTACCTCAACCTTTCGACTCTCTCTCCTTACGTTGCTGGTCCCAACAGTGTCAAAATCGCCACACCAATCCGCGATTTGGAAGCGCAAAAGATCAAACTCAACAAGGCATACCTCGTATCATGTACCAACTCTCGTGCTTCCGATCTTGCTGCTGCTGCCAAGGTTTTCAAGGACGCTGCTGAGTCTTCTCCCGATAAGACTATTCCCAAAATCCCCGAAGGTGTCAATTTCTATATCGCTGCTGCTTCCATTCCCGAGCAAGAAGCCGCCGAAGAAGCAGGTGATTGGCAAGCACTTCTCGCAGCTGGTGCACAACCCTTGCCATCAGGATGCGGCCCATGTATCGGACTTGGTACTGGCTTGTTAGAACCAGGTGAGGTTGGTATCAGTGCAAGTAACCGAAACTTCAAGGGACGTATGGGATCTACCGATGCAAAGGCATATCTGGCGAGTCCTGAGGTTGTCGCTGCCAGCGCTCTTAGTGGCTATATTTCAGGTCCCGGATGGTACCAACCACCTATTGGTGTGAATAAGGTTGTTCTTGGGGAAGGTAATGGAAATGTCGAAGAAGATAAGGCTATCAGCATTGAGGAAGCACTCGAGAAACTCATCTCACAAGCAGAGTCGATCGTCGATGGAGCTGAGTCTAGTCTTTTTGGTACCTCTTCAAAGCCCGAGGAAACGGATTCCGAATCATTAACAGAGATTCTTCCTGGTTTCCCTGAAAAGGTTGAGGGTGAGATTGTTTTCTGTGACGCTGATAACGTCAACACAGATGCTATCTATCCAGGCAAATACACCTACCAAGATGGTGTCTCGGTTGAGAAGATGGCTGAAGTATGCATGGAGAACTACGATAAAGAATTCCGCACGATCGCTCGTGAAGGTGATATCCTAGTCTCCGGCTTTAACTTTGGGTGTGGCAGTTCTAGAGAACAGGCTGCTACTGCCATCCTCGCCAAGAAGATTCCCATGGTGGTTGCTGGAAGCTTCGGAAACATTTTCTCCAGGAATAGCATTAACAATGCTTTGATGGGAGTTGAGGTTCCAAGATTAGTACAAAGACTCAGGGAACACTTTGCCGCTTCTGCACCAGTGCCAAAGAAGGAAGTCACAGAGCCAAGTGAGAATAACGAAAGTCTTGACTCGCCAAAGCCAGCTGAACAAGCCGTACCACAAGGAGAGAAGATTTTAACTAGAAGAACCGGATGGAAGTTTGTATGGGACGTTAGACGAAGCAAGGTAGAGGTGCAGGAAGGTGAGGGTGGTGAGAAGTGGAGTCAGAAGGTTGGAGAGCTACCACCCAATGTGCAAGAAATCATTGCCAGAGGAGGTTTGGAGAAATGGGTCAAGGGAGAGCTTGCGAAAAACTGAGAAAGGTTTTTGAATTGGGAAGTAAACCTGTAAATTCCATGTACACTTGTTAACTCATGAATCAAATAAACCCAAAATCTCACCAAGAACTGTTTGATCGCTCGTAAAATGGATAATTTAGGATTGAATTGCCAGAAGGAAATCACCCCACAAGGGATATGATAGTGAATAGAACAAGGCTCAGGTTTTAGTCGGTATTAAAATCCAAAGACTCAGACTTAGTGAGGATTCCGAATTGATTTTCAGGAAAAGTGCTTAGGTACCTAGGTATATTCACACTCCACGTGTTTGGCGCTGAGAAAGAGTGAATGGGGAGTTCAAAACAATGCGGTGATACTTAAAGCGATATTCCCTCTTGTTGAGCTCAAGCAACTTATTATTATTACTGTGAAATTGAATCTTCAGAGTCCTTCGATTCTTCTGCTTAAGGCCCAAAATACTTCAACCAATTACCTTTCGTTCTTGATTCTACCTTTCCATATTCTCTTGAGGTTCAGGCTTAGGAAACGTCTCTTCAAGAAGTTTCAAACAGCAGTCAAAAAAACAGAACCCGCAGTCATCATGTTTCTTTCGTGCTGGGCCCCTTTCCTTTTGCTCCTTGGATGTGCAATTGGCCAAATTAATATTGAAACCCTGGTTCCAGAAACCTTGGTAACCTTATCATCATCAGATGATACTCCAACCCCAACCGCGATCCAGACTCTGGTTTCCCTACTGGTCGATACTTTCACAGCGCCCAGTTCTCCCTCGAAAACAGAGCTCCCATTTCCGTCTTCTCTGACACAAACATCTCGCAGTCTTAGTCAAAATGATTCTCAAGCTACTTCAGCTGCTTCTAGCCCAAACAAGATTCAGACTTCAGTCCCGCCCTTGAGCACTCAAGCCTCTCCAAAGGAAACAGGATTCAATACACCAGGGCAGTTCAAGATTCAGATCCTTAACGCCCAGAATTGGTATCGAGCTGCGCATGGAGCACTTCCTCTTGTTTGGAATGATACTTTGGCTAATTCCAGTTCGGGTTGGGTCGCGGGATGTGTATGGGATCTTGAGGTATGTCTTCCTTCGACGCGGCGCATCCATATCTTAAGGTGTATTCATACGTCGGCTGTTATACTTACTTACACTTGGATTTACAGTCAACTCCTGGAATAGGAAAATCCTTTGTATCTGCTATACCCACCAGCGTCTTCGGAATCGTCAACTACTTGGGACTTGAACGCCAGTTCTATAATTGGTCAGAGCCAGGACCGACGAATTCTACCAAACAATTTACGCAGATGGTATGGAAAAGCACGACGTCCGTTGGGTGTGCTTGGAATAATTGCCGTAAGTCCTTCCGCTCAGTTTAGATCATGTTGGAATAATTATGCACATCTCTCATGCTTGGAATCTAGAAATCTACGATCCCGGTAGTCAAGAGCAAGAATGATAGACTAACATAAACTTGCGTCCTAGCACCCGGCTCATCACCAGACCCCGCTACGCCTGGAGTTTCCCTGTTTCTCCTGTGTCAATACTATCCCAAAGGCAATCAGGGAACTATCACAGACTGGAAGGACAATGTGGGAGAGCTAGAGTCTGGAAGTCTGGGGGAAGGCGTTGTTGCTGCTGATGGTTTTGGACTGAGTAGTCTGACTACTGCGATTACTGCAAGCGGCGGAACAAGTGGAAATAGTGCAGCAAGTACAATAAGTAGTCTTTCCACAGCTGCCACTGGAAAAGATGTTGAAAGTCTGGCTAATAAGCTGGGTACCAGTCGGTTTGCGATGGTTATCAGCTCGGCTATTGTCATTGGTTCACTTGCCTGGCATCCTTTAGCTTTGGTACCTCTGTTTTTGGCTGTTGGGTTCGCAGATGCAAAGCCCGGATTGGACGTTTCTGCTCTTCTTAAAAAAACCGTTGACATGGAATCGGTATCCAGGGTGACCAATACGCAAACCGCTTAATAATTATCCCCCGCTAGTAGAGCCTGGGTTTAATCCACCTGCACAATTTCAAACCTCGATGCCAGAGGCGTAAATTAGTATAGAAGTAAATACAATGCTAAGCCACTTGTATGGAATGAAAGTCTTGCTGCTTGCTGATAGTGAAGCTTGGGTCAAATGGCGTCTTTAAGTTTCACTCTCTCATATGTAACGTAACACTCATGCAGTACCTTTCAAATTTTTAATACAGAAGCTGGATTGTGCATGATGAAAGTCTGCCCCAGCTAACAAAAATACGATACGCAAGAGCGTGAAGGGGATTGAAATCTTTGATATTATTGATACTTAGGCGGAGCAAGCCAATTTTTCCTCTGCTGGTGATGGTATCACAAATGTTACAACAGATTACTCTGGTACATCGTAGAAAGACACAACACAATTTTGATATGCCTAGAACACTATTCGCAAATTCCTCTCCGTTATCTATATGCTAGATCCAAGCCTCTAATTCATAACTGTTATCTTGATGCGTGTTCATGATTGAGAATTAAGAACCTTGAACCCTCCAAGTTTAAGTGAGTATTCTGACACGAAGTCGATTTTAGCCATCGGAACTTCACCGACAGGTACCAACAAGTCAGCTTGGCATATATGATATGTGAGTATCTTCCGTCAGGAAACTCGGTGGCTATTTTTCACCAGTATTCAAAATGGGCGGATGATATTAAAAAATTTGGTCCTGAATATATGCAGATCAATGTCGAGATTTTTGGTATGACTCATTGCTATTGACTCTTGCTCGCCACTACTTGATGTATCCTATCATTGAGCTATGCTACAATGTCAATTTTCCCTTCCCGATAGTACCTAAGATGAGTAAATTCCTAATCTGACACTTCTCTCCCTCAACGTAGGCAAAGAAATATCAGAATTGGATGTGCACAAGGAGATCCGACGCCGTTCCATCCTGTCTCCGTCCATCATGATTAACTCCCCACTGCGATTTGAGACCACTGTCATGAAATCATTATCTTTTCCCTTCCCATCCTGTCTTCCGTCAAACGATCAGAAAACCATCTACATTCCTCTAAAAGCCCATATAATTATTTCCGATCTCAACAGCCTTTTCAACACCAGCTCCCTTTTCGCTTTCAACAACAAATTTGCTCAAACCCATAGCCCGCAATCCCTCTTCACCAGTCCAGGACTCAACTTCTTCGAGACCTGGTCGACCAATATGCTCACTCTCGCCCTTTCCACCTGGGAAATCCGGACCTGGAACGCCGGAGAGAAAGGTATCACGTTGACGGGCAAGTGCTTCGGCATTGATAGGAGTGAGAGGACAGGCGGGAATATAGAGGACGGAACTGTCGGATTTGCCCGCATGAGTTTTGTCCACGGCATGGATCACTATAAGGTAACAAAGTTAGTCAATGCAACTGTGCAAATATGGTAACAAGATTCGGGAGATAAAAAACTTACTATCACAGTGCCAAGCAACGTAGTCACCTGGATTAATCTTTGGAATATGAACCATAGTATTCTTCAAATCTAAATGTGGGTGAAGCTTTTCGGTCATCTCCTGTCCATGACTTGGGGTAGCACCATGAAGGGCAGTGGTCATCTGATCAGATGGAATCAATTTCCAATTATCGGGACTAAGGTATTCTGCAGTATATTCATCCTCCTTTCCCTCCGGCAATTCTTTGATGGGCTCAAAGAAAGGTCGGAGCAAGAAGTAAGCGGTAGCAAGCTTGATAAGTGGATTGACCTTCAATGTGCCTTCTCCAGGCGCAGTGTGGGACATGCTGAGCCAGGCCTGGAACATGCGAAGCATGGAGCAGCTTCCTCCACCATGATAGAGATCGCTAACAGCAGGTACACGGGATGAAGACTCGAAAGGATCAAATTCTTCCCACTTTCCTTGGAAGATGGCGTCATATACTCCGTTGATACCGTAGCCATTGGGTTCCCAGCGTTCAACAGATCCGCCATCGGCGTGAGGACCGAGAGCAAAGATGGCATCACCAGGCTGACGAATGCGAACACGATCAGCGTAAGTGACAGGTTGAGAAATTGAAATGGGTGAGTTAGGATCGACGGAGTGCCAGAGGCTGAGGAGGAACTTTTGAGCAATGATCATGTTTGGATGACCACGAGCTTTAACTTGTGGTGGTGACCAGTAGAGTTCGTAGACTTGTGGATCATTAGCTGGGAAGCCTGTTTTTGTCAGCTTTGTTTAGTCATGATTGTTTGCTTGATACCCAAGAGGAAGACTGTCAATGAAATTTGGGGTAACATGGATGGATGAGAATGTAAAATAAAACCATAAAGATAACTTACCCTTAGTACTAGGGTTCAACTTAACGTAATCTTCGACCTCCTGCTTATAACCTCTCGCAGTTGTCTCATCCACGACACCCCTAATAACAAGTGCACCCTTATCTCTCATATCTTTCAACTGCTCCTCACTTACGTTCTTCTCAAGAACATCCTTGAAAGTCACACTTGGGATAATTTTCGGGCCCAACTCCGCAACTTTTCGATTCTCGACTGCAAGTTGCTCAACAAGGCGAGTGAAAGATGCTTGAACAGCCTCCTCATGGCCGCGGATAAGGTTGCGCTTGATATCAGCAAAACGTTCGGGAAGTGGTGTGGGCTTGGCGCCAGAGAGTGAGACGAAGACCGAAGAGATATCGCCTTCTTCCTTTGGGTTTATGACATTCATGGAAGACATACTGATTGATTTAGCTTGTGTTGCGAGGGTGCGAATTGTGAACTTGGGTTTGTGGTTGACAAGAGAGGATTTATGGATGGTAAAGTTGGGTTTGTGATTAAGAAGAGAAGATGCTTGGCGGCCTGCGGAGACGAGGCGCGTGTGAGACAACATGGAGACGAATGCGAGCTTGTGACTACTCTCTATACTCTGAGACTTGGATGAGTGGTGAATGCTCTTTATGCCGAGAACTTGGACTGAAAACTAGGTACAAAGAAATTCTTAAGTGAATGTCTCGAATACTTCGAAAACAACAGAGATTTGGATGGGTGTTTGCAATTGCTCGTAAATGAGAGTTTATGTAAAGATCATTTGGTCTATGGAGTGAAATCCGAACGTCTTCAATATAAAAAATGTATTCAGACCGTCATTACATTTCATGCATATTGGTGAATCTCATACGGCACTAGTTGTTTTGGCGGCATGACCAATTCGAGAAGTCCGATGACCGTGGTGTGGCTGTGATAGTGAGTGCGTGTAATATTCAGGAACCTGTGCACAGACAACAAAATTGAATGGCGGGGTAGCATGGAATCGAATTTGGGAGGTTTGCCGGACAATTTCCAAAATGCAGCTTTGGCACATGATTTGATAATGGTGACGATGATGACAACAGCCTCTTGAGAATTCGCTTCGCTTCCAAAATGTGACGTTACAGATGTGAATTCACTGAGGCTTGAGCTGCATCCCGCCTTCTCAAATATCACCCTGCTTATCTACCAAGCGAAAATGGGCCACGGTCAATTGTTAGTATAATATGTCTCTCGCTCTATTCATCCGCTACTCTCAGGGCTGGAGCATTGATATAGTTGCCTACGATGGTGTATTTGATATTCCTATCAAAACATCTGAATGCAAACAGCCAATAATGGGACAACAAGAGCCGTAGCTACCCGAATCCGAGGTAGTGCAAGAAATCAGTTGTGTGCGAAGTAACTTCGCATTCACTTGTGCCACGAAATTTTGATCATGTTGTGTTGCTCTAGGCAGTTATTAGTTTCGAACTTTATGGGACGACCGAACTGGAGTAGAACGGGAGACTACTTGATTAGCAGAGGGGGAAAAGTCAATTGAGCTGTCGATAGACATGTTTGGACTGGGACAATAGGGGACAAAGTGCTTTTGATTACTTAGTCAGAAAGATCGGAAGATAAGCAACGGCTGATACGGGTGAGACAAGGTCAATGATGTGTGCATTTGGCTTTTGATCAAACGTAACTTGAGCTCAAGGTTTCCAAGTGATGGAGTTTGTGACAAGCAACCCAAGTTTGCCATGCCCCTTCAAGTACCGATTCTGAAAGATTCGGCTTCCATTATAATGCACTACGGAGGTATGTTGAGGGTGAAGAATCAATGGCAAGCGTCTGAGCTTTTCCTGAACTTCAAATCACCAATGCGGCTCTACTCAAGTGTCGAAAGCAACAAAGGTGGGTAGATTGCGATACAAACCATAGAAGAAAGCCAGGCTTAGGAGGTAGTTATTCGACACCTTATGAACACTTCCACGTACTTAGTTGACAGTGATCACAGCGTGCATGGCTCATGGACCCGGCTAACCGTGCAGCTGCGTTCTCCCAGAGTTTCTATTCAGATTCCTGCCACAAAGTTCTGTTGAAGATATGATCCATTTGCCCCCCAATACACCAAGATATCATATCAAGTCCCGTTCTCGATTGAATATTGTGGTAAGTTGCTGTCACTCTTTTAAAATATTTCATGCACCTCGTGCAGATGTTTTAACGAATGCGAAAGATTGAGAGATGGTATTGGACTGCTTGTTTCGAGTGGGGAATTAAACTGCTCCATTGTATATTTTTATATCGAACGAGAAGGGCCTTATATAACCTCAGTTAGATATCCGAGGTCTATTCGCAGAACAAATGGCGTCAATGTGCGACATGCGGTTGTTGATGTTGCTCACAAATGTCGTCTTGGTGGTTCTCGATTATCGCCATGGTGAGATAGAAATGATTGAAGCGGCACGCCATGGCTGGAACACATTTGATATTGTAGTCGAACACTTAGATGTTGGTATCCCATCAATGGACGGGATCAGATTTCACAATCAAAAGTTCGTTCGGAACCCAATATTTTGTTTGGAGTGAGGTTCGTTTCGTCCAGGACCTTTGGTCCGAGCCTGATTATGTAAGGCTAAGGTTTTTTTTTTTGCATTGCATGATTGCACTAACTACCTACCTTGGTATGCTCACCTCAGCAACTTTTGCAGCAGTCATCAGTCGTACAAAAACTTTCTTCAAAACCCTTCCGGCTGGACAATTGAGCCTTAGGGACGATTTGATTATCTACTCAAAAATATTGAAGGATGCTATTAAGCCCGGCGTAAGATTATGTGGCTTTGAAATTGGATTTCCCCCTCAATGGATATCTAACCTCAAGGTACTATTACCTCGTCAGCTTTGAAGCTGAGAATTAAGAGTCCTATGGGCCTTTCTTGTGTCATGATAGAAAGATAGATGTTGTACCAAGAGCTAAACGTATTTGGAAACTCCGCTCACAACTAAGGTGGATCTTCAACCTTTCCACGTCTCTATCGCCTGTCTCGGAAGATTTCCCCTGCGTCTTCATCAGAGGCGCTGATAGTCGTGCATGGTGGAAAGTTTGCTACATCCTCTTGTTGTGTAAGATCACACGGCCATCTGAAAGACTTCAAGAACCTTTATTTCAAGGCTGCTGGAAGAGCTTGGTCCACTTTATTTTGCATTTGACCTTGGCTGTTGGACTTTCTCATCTATAAGAAACAATAGGATGAGATCACCATAGGCGCTCCTGTCTGCAACTGCTTGGTTTAATGATTCCGGAAGAAGTTAAATCCGCCACATGAATCATCTCCGACAGAAATTGCACTCGCCACACCACACTCCGACACAATGTTTAAATTTGTAGCTTCCGATGGGACTGGATCCATCAAGAGACAACAGGCGCAAAAGGCATGTGACTCCTGCAGAAAGCGGAAGAAGCGATGTAACCATGGTAGTAATGCAATTTCAACGAATTCTTCGCCTGTAAGAGCATCTAGCCAAGTCAACTCCGATGAACGGGTTTCTCAAGCAGCCAAGCCATACACTGCAAGTATCCTCTCTTGTACCACGGATGCCGGGTATCAAAGCACAACGCCTCATGAGGAGCCTGGCCATATCTCTCCTGTTGCGTCAACTTTAACAAGCAGTGATCAAGACCTTGAAGCTGCTAGGATATTGAGCGGTGGTACTCGTACTCAAGCAAATACGTCTCACTCCCAAGAACCTACTGGTATTCAGTCTCGATTCATTGGAGATTTGAACCCAGAATCAATTTTTCTGGCTGCTACCAGTCCAGATGCCATTCGTGGCGTATTACCGGACAGCGTTGGAGTATACCTCTCTTCAACACTCGGGAAAAAGCCTCATCATTTCTCGAATTTACAACAGACAAGCTCCAACTTATTCTATGGATGTCCGCCTTTGGTCCGTAATGTTCTGGTGCCTCTCATAGAACAGGAGTGTCTATCTACGATACCACCTATGCCCCATCTTAAAGCGTTATCTCGGATATACTTTGAGAAGATTAACACCATCTTTCCCATCATCAATGAGACCGTGTTCCGCAATCTAGCCCCTTCAGTCCCTTGTCGGGCTTTATTGGAACAAGCCATTTGCTTGGCAGCATCCAAGAGTTTCGCTGCTGCGGATCATCTCATACTGGATGAAGCAGGCCCCCCGATGACCTGCAAAGCGTTCGGCGAAAAGGTGTCCGGTGCAATGAGGTTGACCATTGAACTAGGCATTGTGACCGACAAGATTGTCCTGATTGAAGCCCTCTGTCTCCTCTCCCTATTCATCGACAATTCTAGCAGTGAGGATCTTGCATCTCAATTCTCTGGAAAAGCTACTCATTACCTTGAAGGCATGGGATTACATCTCGAAGGTCAGGTGGAGGATGCAAGTGCAAAGCTTCTATGTTGCGTATATGCGTTAGATCGCATGAATGCTGCATTCCATGGCCGTCCTGTCTTGATGCATGAACGAGACATGAGGAAAGATCTCCACCAATGCTTTAATCAGCAACAACCTTCCTTCCGTCTATTTTTACAGGTAATATCATTACTTGACAATGTCATCGAGATATATCGACCCCTGAACCAGTCAGAACAAGGCGGTATGGACGTTCAATTCCCTGCTTTTGAAGAGTTGGTGTTGAATTGCGCGGCTGCGCATATTGGTACTTCCTCTCTTGGTATGTTATCCTCTAATCACCTTACTTCTCCTCTTGGGGTATCCAATATCCTGGACTGCAGTCCGATAACCTGAGCTCTTTAAGTTTATTTTTTCTCGAATTATTGAGTTCTTGTGGAATTTTAAAATTATCTTGAATGTTCTGAAATCGTTGAATTTTGCATATCACATGAATGCTTGAAGTATTCGTTTTCAAATCGATGCTGATCATTGAATAATACCCAACCTTCACACCAAGTCTACCAATCGGGAATATTGAATTGCTCTATCTAATTTTCGTTTATGATACGTGCTTGCTTTGATTGATATTTTACTCATACAGTGTCTAGCAACAATTGAAATTTTCTACCACAGCATCTCTATTATTTCTCATCGATCCCATATTTGGGCCGAACCCAAGCGTTCCACATCCTCTTACCTTCGACAAACTCTCTCAACCAGTATTCTCTCATCGACCACTTCTCACGAGCTACGAGACCAACTTGTTCTATTTCCTTTCGTGCCATACGCTATATCGCTTTCTCTGAGCATTGCTTATCGAGAAATGCGCCACAACAAACTACCTGTCCATCGGATGCGCGCTCGAGGTCAATTCCAAGCTAGCTGTAGGCTCTTGGAAGGCCTTGAAAGTCAATACTGTACTGCTGCTAATGCTGCAAATATGGGAAAGAAAATGCTCAGGGAAATCGATCGAGTATTTTCTACCGTCTCTTCGGAGTATAAAACTAC